GGGCGAATCATTTTTTTTTTTTGAGGTCTTTTTAAAAGTAAATCACGCAACTTACCTGTCTATTGCTCATTTAGCTTTTGGCAGACGTCGTTTAGCTCATAGCAGACGTGCCTGTTTCAACTCGTAGGCGAGCAGCGTCAGAAGGAATAGGGCGAGGGATGATCCTAACAGCACTTGGTGACATCCGAAGGGGTGACACCAAAATGTAAATTCTATTTTTTACTGCATTATTAAATATCAGCTAACAGCATATATATATATATATATATATATATATATATATATATATATATATATATATATATATATATATATATTACAGTACCGGATGTTAATCGTCCTACGTGCGCCACTGATTAGAACTGCCAAATTACTTTCTTTGAACTTGAATTCACTTCAGGCTGTTTGTTGTCGTATGCTATCATAGTCTCCCTGTGTTAATACCTTCAGGTACCCTGCGTAAAGGTTGTTACTGGGTACTTCAATTGGGGTTAGAGTTAGGGATAAGGATACTGTAGGATTATGGGACAGCGTGGCCTAAGTGGTAAAGCGCTTGACTGCTAACCCTGAAAGTCTCGAGTTGAATCCCCCCCAAGTCAGTACAACGTCCCTAAGTCCACCCAGTGTTGTTGGATACATAACTCATTTTTGGGAAAGTAAAGGCGGCTGGGCAAAGTGCTGACCACACCTGCCCTTCATATGCCAATTAAAAAAAAAACATGTTAACTCTACTTCATCTACCCAATGGTCGCTAGGTCTAATGAGAATTCTTTATACTATAGGATTAATTGCACCTCGCTATTAAAAACACGAGGGAGCTAAACCTTGCACATATTTACACGAGACTTCATTAGCAATGTCATAGAGGGTAGAGCTCAAGAGATTATGACACTCTATCTAGGTAACCAATTTAGGGTACCCCAGAGGCGTATCTAGGGGAGGGAGGGTGGGGCACCGACTTAATGGTCGTCAAACGGGGGTAGAAAAAAAAATCGAAAAATCGAGTAACTGTTAATAAATGGGGGAGGCGCTAATTTAAAAGTCCGCCCCTGTAGCCGGAATAAATTGCTACGCTTCTGTGGTACCGGTTGCTGTTGTTGTTGTTGTTGTTGCTGTTGTTGTTGTTGTGTTTATTGTTGTTTTTAATTTGGAGGAAGTCCATTTCTCGCTCGTTTAATGTTTTCGTTGAGACTTACAAAAAACTCGTGACTGGAGGGTTAATTCTGGTTCTGAGTGAGTTGAACAGAGTTTCTTCTCCTCCCCCCCCCCCCCACCCCCCGCCCGAACGAAATGGAATTTATATAGAAAACATACTTTTACCAGTGTCCGCCCTCCCCGGAAAATGTTGACCGCCCCACCCGCCGAAAATATTAAGTGCCCCCCCCCCCCCCCCCCCCGTAGAAAAAAGTCTGGAAGAAACACTGGAGTTGAAGGGAACTCTATACATCTTCTTTCTTTTTGTTTTGTTATCATATCTAGAACAGATTGCATCATCTTTCAGTCTGAATAGCAGGGGGAGGGTGGAGGGTAGGGCTGCAAAGCTGAGACTTCACCCCAAGCACTTAGACATTTAGGGGGGGGGGGGGAGATAAGGCTAGGTATAAGTGCATAGCGTTCGTAAAGCCGTGTTCCCGCGTCAAGTAAATAGCCGAAAGGGGTTCGTGTTTTCTTTGTGATGGAGTCACCTTCACGGCTGGGAGGATATGCATGTATATTAATTATTATACGATGTTATAATATACACGGCTGACTACACGTGGGCCTAGGCAGAGCGTCGGTCGACTTGTCTGACGCCTTTCGTTTGGTTCAGTGAGCTTTGGACCTTATTGCTAGACAGAGCCTAGATCTGGGGCCCACGCCTCACTGCTACATCGAGCTTAGATCTGGGGCCCACGCCTCATTGCCACACAGAGCTTAGATCTGGGGCCCACGCCTCATTGCTAGACAGAGCTTAGATCTGGGGCCCACGCCTCATTGCCAGAGCTTAGATCTGGGGCCCACGCCTCATTGCCACACAGAGCTTAGATCTGGGGCCCACGCCTCACTGCTAGACAGAGCTTAGATCTGGGGCCCACGCCTCATTGCTAGACAGAGCTTAGATCTGGGGCCCACGCCTCATTGCTAGACAGAGCTTAGATCTGGGGGCCCACGCCTCATTGCTAGACAGAGCTTAGATCTGGGGGCCCACGCCTCATTGCTAGACAGAGCTTAGATCTGGGGCCCACGCCTCATTGCTAGACAGAGCTTAGATCTGGGGCCCACGCCTCATTGCTAGACAGAGCTTAGATCTGGGGCCCACGCCTCATTGCTAGACAGAGCTTAGATCTGGGGCCCACGCCTCATTGCTAGACAGAGCTTAGATCTGGGGCCCACGCCTCATTGCTAGACAGAGCTTAGATCTGGGGCCCACGCCTCATTGCTAGACAGAGCTTAGATCTGGGGCCCACGCCTCATTGCCATACAGAGCTTAGATCTGGGGCCCACGCCTCATTGCTAGACAGAGCTTAGATCTGGGGCCCACGCCTCATTGCTAGACAGAGCTTAGATCTGGGGCCCACGCCTCATTGCTAGACAGAGCTTAGATCTGGGGCCCACATTGCCAGACAGAGCTTAGATCTGGGGCCCACGCCTCATTGCCAGAGCTTAGATCTGGGGCCCACGCCTCATTGCCATACAGAGCTTAGATCTGGGGGCCACGCCTCATTGCTATACAGAGCTTAGATCTGGGGCCCACGCCTCATTGCTAGACAGAGCTTAGATCTGGGGCCCACGCCTCATTGCTAGACAGAGCTTAGATCTGGGGCCCACGCCTCATTGCTAGACAGAGCTTAGATCTGGGGCCCACGCCTCATTGCCATACAGAGCTTAGATCTGGGGCCCACGCCTCATTGCTAGACAGAGCTTAGATCTGGGGCCCACGCCTCATTGCCACACAGAGCTTAGATCTGGGGCCCACGCCTCATTGCTAGACAGAGCTTAGATCTGGGGCCCACGCCTCATTGCCAGAGCTTAGATCTGGGGCCCACGCCTCATTGCCACACAGAGCTTAGATCTGGGGCCCACGCCTCACTGCTAGACAGAGCTTAGATCTGGGGCCCACGCCTCATTGCTAGACAGAGCTTAGATCTGGGGCCCACGCCTCATTGCTAGACAGAGCTTAGATCTGGGGCCCACGCCTCATTGCTAGACAGAGCTTAGATCTGGGGGCCCACGCCTCATTGCTAGACAGAGCTTAGATCTGGGGCCCACGCCTCATTGCTAGACAGAGCTTAGATCTGGGGCCCACGCCTCATTGCTAGACAGAGCTTAGATCTGGGGCCCACGCCTCATTGCTAGACAGAGCTTAGATCTGGGGCCCACGCCTCATTGCTAGACAGAGCTTAGATCTGGGGCCCACGCCTCATTGCTAGACAGAGCTTAGATCTGGGGCCCACGCCTCATTGCCATACAGAGCTTAGATCTGGGGCCCACGCCTCATTGCTAGACAGAGCTTAGATCTGGGGCCCACGCCTCATTGCTAGACAGAGCTTAGATCTGGGGCCCACGCCTCATTGCTAGACAGAGCTTAGATCTGGGGCCCACATTGCCAGACAGAGCTTAGATCTGGGGCCCACGCCTCATTGCCAGAGCTTAGATCTGGGGCCCACGCCTCATTGCCATACAGAGCTTAGATCTGGGGCCACGCCTCATTGCTATACAGAGCTTAGATATGGGGCCCACGCCTCATTGCTAGACAGAGCTTAGATCTGGGGCCCACGCCTCATTGCTAGACAGAGCTTAGATCTGGGGCCAACGCCTCATTGCTAGACAGAGCTTAGATCTGGGGCCCACGCCTCATTGCCATACAGAGCTTAGATCTGGGGCCCACGCCTCATTGCTAGACAGAGCTTAGATCTGGGGCCCAGTCCTCATTGCTAGACAGAGCTTAGATCTGGTGCCCACGCCTCACTGCTAGACAGAGCTTAGATCTGGGGCCCACGCCTCACTGCTACATCGAGCTTAGATCTGGGGCCCACGCCTCATTGCTAGACAGAGCTTAGATCTGGGGCCCACGCCTCATTGCTAGACAGAGCTTAGATCTGGGGCCCACGCCTCACTGCTACATCGAGCTTAGATCTGGGGCCCACGCCTCACTGCTAGACAGAGCTTAGATCTGGGGCCCACGCCTCATTGCTAGACAGAGCTTAGATCTGGGGCCCACGCCTCATTGCTAGACAGAGCTTAGATCTGGGGCCCACGCCTCATTGCTAGACAGAGCTTAGATCTGGGGCCCACGCCTCATTGCTAGACAGAGCTTAGATCTGGGGCCCACGCCTCATTGCTAGACAGAGCTTAGATCTGGGGCCCACGCCTCATTGCTAGACAGAGCTTAGATCTGGGGCCCACGCCTCATAGACAGAGCTTAGATCTGGGGCCCACGTCTCATTGCTAGACAGAGCTTAGATCTGGGGCCCACGCCTCATTGCTAGACAGAGCTTAGATCTGGGGCCCACGCCTCATTGCTAGACAGAGCTTAGATCTGGGGCCCACGCCTCATTGCTAGACAGAGCTTAGATCTGGGGCCCACGCCTCATAGACAGAGCTTAGATCTGGGGCCCACGTCTCATTGCTAGACAGAGCTTAGATCTGGGGCCCACGCATCATTGCTAGACAGAGCTTAGATCTGGGGCCCACGCCTCATAGACAGAGCTTAGATCTGGGGCCCACGTCTCATTGCTAGACAGAGCTTAGATCTGGGGCCCACGCCTCATAGACAGAGCTTAGATCTGGGGCCCACGCCTCATTGCTAGACAGAGCTTAGATCTGGGGCCCACGCCTCATTGCTAGACAGAGCATAGATCTGGGGCCCACGCCTCATAGACAGAGCTTAGATCTGGGGCCCACGCCTCATTGCTAGACAGAGCTTAGATCTGGGGCCCACGCCTCATTGCTAGACAGATCATAGATCTGGGGCCCACGTCTCATAGACAGAGCTTAGATCTGGGGCCCACGCCTAATTGCTAGACAGAGCTTAGATCTGGGGCCCACGCCTCACTGCTAGGGTTTGGGTCTGGGGCCCACTTCTCATTGCTAGGGTTTGGGTCTGGGGCCCATGTCTCATTGCTAGGGTTTGGGTCTGGGGCCCATGTCTCATTGCTAGGGTTTGGGTCTGGGGCCCATGTCTCATTGCTAGGGTTTGGGTCTGGGGCCCACTTCTCATTGCTAGGGTTTGGGTCTGGGGCCCATGTCTCATTGCTAGGGTTTGGGTCTGGGGCCCATGTCTCATTGCTAGGGTTTGGGTCTGGGGCCCATGTCTCATTGCTAGGGTTTGGGTCTGGGGCCCACTTCTCATTGCTAGGGTTTGGGTCTGGGGCCCATGTCTCATTGCTAGGGTTTGGGTCTGGGGCCCACTTCTCATTGCTAGGGTTTGGGTCTGGGGCCCATGTCTCATTGCTAGGGTTTGGGTCTGGGGCCCACTTCTCATTGCTAGGGTTTGGGTCTGGGGCCCATGTCTCATTGCTAGGGTTTGGGTCTGTGGCTCACTCTCTTACGCCACATGTTACTGTTGCAATACACCTTCGTTTTTACAAACTTGTAGATAAGTTTTAAGCTAGTAGTTGTATTATAATAATGAAATGTGTTTTCGTGGCGTAGGTTATATTAGTGTTGGATAATGCCAAAATATTTTAATCTTCTTTTTACAAGAGTGTTAGGTTATTTGTAGTAAACTTAGTACTAATACACCTGCTAATTGCAATGTTAAACTTATCGCTAACCCAACCTCAACCAAAGTCCTAAGAAATCCCTAACCATAATACCTTATCCTGAACTGATATTAAGGGCGCGCAATACAGGCCTGTAGACGCCGTCTTCTTGAAGAACTGAAGACAGCAGGGATGTCTTAGGAGACTATAAAATCAAGAGCCGGGGACAGGACAAAATGGAAGGTTATGTGTGAGGTCCTATAGTCTAGATCAAGGTCAAGTAAGTCAAACACACTTATTTTCAGAAGAGTCTATTTTGAGACAAAGGGAATATCGATTCTCCAATACTCTGAAACTAGATAACATTCAGGCAATTTTTAGGACTTTTTTTTTTTTAATTTAAGTTTCTGCCTTTTTACATCTTGAAAACACATACAGACAGTTTTTCTTGCTGAACTACAAAACTGAACGTCAGATGTCCACTTCAACACTACCAGATGGCGCCACTCGTTCTGCCCTGCAACACTGCTCACACTGACACTGATATTAGTGATGTTAGTGATGTTAGTGATGTTAGTGATGTTAGTAATGTTAGTGATGTTAGTGATGTTAGTGATGTTAGTAATGATAGTGATGTTTGTAAGTGATGTTAGTGATGTTAGTGATGTTAGTGATGTTAGTGATGTTAGTAATGTTAGTGATGTTAGTGATGTTAGTGATGTAAGTGATGTTAGTGATGTTAGTTGTGTTAGTGGTGTAAGTAATGTTAGTGATGTTAGTGATGTAAGTGATGTTAGTGATGTTAGTGATGTTAGTGATGTTAGTAATGTTAGTGATGTTAGTAATGTTAGTGATGTTAGTGATGTTAGTAATGTTAGTAATGTTAGTGATGTTAGTGATGTTAGTGATGTTAGTGATGTTAGTGATGTTAGTGATGTAAGTGATGTTAGTGATGTTAGTGATGTTAGTGATGTTAGTGATGTTAGTGATGTTAGTGATGTTGGTGATGTGATGTTGGTGATGTTAGTGATGTTAGTGATGTTAGTGATGTTAGTGATGTTAGTGATGTTTGATGTTAGTGATGTTAGTGATGTTAGTGATGTTAGTGATGTTAGTGATGTTAGTGATGTTAGTGATGTTAGTGATGTTAGTGATGTTAGTGATGTTAGTGATGTTAGTGATGTTAGTGATGTTAGTGATGTTGGTGATGTTGGTGATGTTAGTGATGTAAGTGATGTTAGTGATGTTAGTGATGTTAGTGATGTTAGTAATGTTAGTGATGTTAGTGATGATAGTGGTGTTAGTGATGTTAGTGATGTTAGTGATGTTAGTGATGTTAGTGATGATAGTGATGTTAGTGATGTTAGTGATGTTAGTGATGTTAGTGATGTTAGTGATGTTGGTGATGTTAGTGATGTTACTGATGTTAGTGATGTTACTGATGTTAGTGATGTTAGTGACGTTACTGATGTTAGTGATGTTAGTGACGTTAGTGATGTTGGTGACGTTTGTAAGTGATGTTAGTGATGTTAGTGATGTTAGTGATGTTAGTGATGTTGGTGATGTTAGTGATGTTAGTGATGCTAGTGATGCTAGTGATGTTAGTGATGTAAGTGATGTTAGTGATGTTAGTGATGTTAGTGATGTTAGTGATGTTAGTGATGTTAGTGATGTTAGTGATGTTAGTGATGTTAGTGATGATAGTGATGTTAGTGATGTTTGTGATGTTAGTGATGTAAGTGATGCTAGTGATGCTAGTGATGTTAGTGATGTAAGTGATGTTAGTGATGTTAGTGATGTTAGTGATGTTAGTGATGTTTGTGATGTTAGTGATGTTAGTGATGTTAGTGATGTTAGTGATGTTAGTGATGATAGTGACGTTAGTGATGCTACAATACACCTCACAATATGACGTCTATTTTTGGACAGAAACAGAAGAAATAAAGTTTTTTTCATTAATTATTCCCCGTGTTACCTGAGTTTCTTGCGTCATCATAAGGTCAGGTAAAGTCTCAAGGTCAGGTCACACACCCAAGGTTAGGTCACGTCTAAAGGTTAGGTCACATCGCTAAATCAGGTCACCACGTCTCTAGGTCAGGTCACGTCTTCAGGTTACGTTATATCTCCCGCTCAGGTCACATGATTAGATCCCCCCCCCCCCCCGTTTCTATTTCTGTTACCTCTTAATATTCCCGACGCAGGTCTGCCTTGTTGCCCTTCGCTCTAGGGATTAAAAAACCCATTTTTAACAAAGCTCCGGCTTCGTTTAAACTGTTAGCGAAAAAAAAACTCGGATTCGACTAAACAAATTCATCGGATACCTTAAAATTACATTTAAAAAATAAAGCCTCCGTACTGTTCATGTTATATAACTTCCGTTTCTACTTTTGAATTAAAAGAGCCCAAGGCTCCTGTAACATTTGTTATAGCAGTTTTTTTACAGGCTTTCGGGCATATCTCGAGGGACGCAGCCAACCCCCCCCCCCCCCCAAAAAAAAATAACATCAACCGTCTCCTTTTCTTCCCCCCCCCCCTCCCGAACGACCGAACGAAGTAGAAAAAAAATAGTTTATATAAGAAAATAAATTGTGTGCCGCCCCCCCCCCCACCCCGCCTCTGACTAAACGATTACTAACTATAGCTGTTGTATTCGAATACCTCCATATCTTAAACGGATGGCGCCGCCTCTGACTAAACGATTACAAGGATTGTTGTATTCGAATACCTCCTTATCTTAGAACCGATCACGTTACCTCTTACTAAACGATTGTAATGGCTGTCGTATTCGAATACCTCCCTAAAACGATTACGCCGCCTTAACCTAAACAAATTACAAACACTCACACAGGTCGCCGGATCAACTCACACGGGATGTGTCGTTTGGACAACTGCCACAAACACATGTGTGAATAAAACACTCTATGTAGGCCTCACCACCACCCCCACCCCACTTCAACTCACCTCCATTACAGTTACAATAGGATCAAAGTAACACGCTGTGGTGATTATGAAAAGTGAATTCACTTACTTGTGTTTTTAACTCATTCGGTATGCTACAATAATCGATTTTTGTTTTTAGTTCGTCGGTGGGCGTGGCTTGTTTTGTCGATGAGTGACGTGCCCTTTGTATTGCGAGATGTCAAGAACAGCGTTATGATGACAGGGGAAAAAAATTTAACATTCTGTATCCAGTTCAAATTACTGTTGCTATTCTTGTAACAACTTATCAATAAGTTAACTACATTACGTATTTAAAATGTTCAAAGATTTCCATTCATTGTAAACAGATCCAAAGGTTTCCATTCATTGTCGACAGATCCGTAATAATCGGAGCACAACGCCGGTATAGAGTCCTTGCAAACACGTGACCTAAATCACGTGATACCTACGCCCGCCGCCACAGTGGTGTACATCAGACGTAAACACAATCAGCTGTTCGCCAGCGCTGGACGTGTTCACCAGCACTGGACGTGTTCACCGTATGTAAAGAATCGCGCCCGCGGAAAAGGAAAAATATGTTAAAAAACTTGAACTCTTAGGAATTGAAGATCCTTATACAGTTATTGACAGTTTCGTGGATAATATAAATATGTGGCTGAAATTTCTAAATAAAAATACTGTTAGTAATACCGTTTGCGTTTAGAGTTTAAGTAGACGAAGCTGATCAAATGCAGTAGTATATTAGAGGTTATCTACTGTAGCAAACGTGAGACCACTTAACTCCTACAAAACCCACACTACAACGGCTAATATAATCCATGGGTAATAACCAATCTGGGTAGCATGTTATACAATTTAAGACCCTTATAATCCAGCAGGGAAGTAATCAGACACATTAATACTGACGTTCAACCGTCATGATGGCTGCCCCCACCTGTATCTAGCCCACAATAAAACCAAAGAGGAGTCTGCCCTGCCCTCCCCTGAAAATGTCTCACCTCCGTGATACCCAGCCCCACAGAGATAGTATTTCTTATATAATTTTGACCCTCAGGGCCCAGCAGAGAGAACAAAGGGGAAAGTCCCACTGCTCTCCCCTCAACACTTCTCACCTCGGTGTCATGTTATGTCATTTATAGCACACACGGCTTATCAGGGGAAAGCATTAAGGCATTAAGAATCTTAACTCTGGACAGCTACACACTAGTATACTAGCTACACACTAGGTGCCTACTGTAAACTACTAGACTGTAGGCCCTATGTAGACCTGCAATTGTATCAATTGTAGACTGGGTCCATTGTTATTATTCTAAACCATCTCACTTATAATGTTTCTAGCTTGATTTGTTTCTTTTATAAACAGTGGATTTAAAAAAAAAATTAGCCTAATCATTAACCTAATAATAATAATGTGGTTATTTGTTGTTGGCTGGTATGATCTAGATTGTACTACTAGGCTACAAAAACTTAGTAGACCAATTACTAGATATGAATTTGAATTTAATTAAACTCAGTCCAGTATCAGATACATATTGCTGTAAAAAGACAACAAAGTAGGTAGGCCTTAGTAATTTATTAAAGTCTTCTACTACAATAATATCAACTACATGCTTGTATAAAGTTTTTACAATTTAATTTAAGTAGCAGATTCTAGATCTAAGTCTAGTCATATAATCTATTTCAATTTCAGAAAATTTCGTTTGCTAAAAAAATGATTAGATAATAGAGCGAGATTTTAGATCTTAGAGACAATTAAATGCTTTATTAGGCCTATTATGACTACTTTTGATTTATTATGGGTGTATTTTGAATCGAATGTAGATCTAAAGTAATTAAATTTAAGTAAAGAAGTAGATTCTAGATTCTATGTCTACCCAGCGGAGCCAGGTATAAGCCTACTATTAGATCTTGTTATTCTTATTAGCCTATAATATTACTTTTGACTTTGTCTTTTACTATTAGTATTTGTGAAGGTCGAGCATATTTGTTTTATTAATAGTTATCTTTTATAATTAAAATGAAGTTTATTATTTTACTGTCCTTACATGAAACAAAGTATCGAGAACTGCATTTGATCAGATTCGGCTACTTGAACTCTAAACGCAAACAGTATTACTAACAGTATTTTTATTTAGAAATTTTGTCCACATATTTATTTATACGAAACTGTCAATAACAGTATAAGGATCTTCAATTCCTAAGAGTTCAAGTTTTTTAACGTATTTTTCCTTTTCCGCGGGTGCGGTTCTTTACATACAGTGAACGCGTCCAGCGCTGGCGAACAGCTGATTGTGTTTACGTCTTGTGTACACCACTGTGGCGGCGGGAGTAGGTATCACGAACGGACGTGACGTCATATGAAAGGACTCTATATTTATCCGCCAATCAAAAAATTCGTTTCTCAGCGATCTCAAACGATGCCCAGACGTACAAGTTGTTGTGCAGATATTGATCACAAATTACCGTCTGCACGTGGATTCGACCGCTAGGCCTAATACATGAAAGAAGTATCGAGTACAAATATAGTTCCAGTCCAGCGGTTATATTTCAGTGAGGATAGGATTGGCTGAGCGAATACCGACGATCTCTCACACTAAGGCATGTAGGCCGCTCTTTTGTTTTGAAGGTTTTATTTTAACCTACCATAAGGCTATAAGCTTAATGATCAATCGCCTAATAAAGGTCATTGGCGGACATAACTTGTTGTGTGTGTGGGGGGGGGGGGGGGGGGGGTGATGGCTTTCTAAAGGGAAATGTAGTAGGGTCTTAGATTTTCATAATCGAAACCAAAAAATGAAACTGCTTGCACAGCATAATGGATGAGGGGGGGGGGGTGCCCGTAAATGGCATAATACGCCTAGGAAAATAGAGAAGAAATCAAATTTGGTTAGTTATAAATCTTACAATATTTAGTGTAGGCATCAAGAAAGGTAAGATAACAAAGTAACAAAGTATAACACAACATAAAAGATCTTTTAGTACGCATAAAGATAGGTCTAAAGATAAATTTTAACGCACATATAGATATGCGAATAGATCAATTTTAACGCACACACAGATATGCCAATAGATCAAGTTTAATGCACACACAGATATGCCTATTGATCAAGTTTAATCCACACACAGATATGCCAATAGATCAAGTTTAATGCATCTACAGATATGCCAATAGATCAAGTTTAATGCATATACAGATATGCCAATAGATCAAGTTTAATGCACACACAGATATGCCAATAGATCAAGTTTAATGCACACACAGATATGCCAATATATCAAGTTTAATGCACACACAGATATGCCAATATATCAAGTTTAATGCACACACAGATATGCCAATATATCAAGTTTAATGCACACACAGATCATGTAAACTTGATCATTTACCTGTGGTGACCTCATACAAAAAGAAAACAATTTAGCAGAGCGTGGTTTCGATCCACGGACCTCTGGGTTATGGGCCCAGCACGCTTCCACTGCGCCACTCTGCTGTTGTATAATACTCTCAGTAATAGGTAAATGTAGTGAATCGTATATGCTTCATGATCTGAACCGCATCAATTGTTTTCAAAAGACAAAACAATGCAGAGTATTTAAAATTTACTTTAATGTGCCTTGTTCGAGGGTATGAGGTAAACGGGCCATTTGAAATGGATTGAACGTGTGGGTCTAGTGCTGGGGCATGAGTCAATCAATGGACACAGTTGGACACAGTAGACACACGACGCACGTGCGACCAGGCTGGTGAGTGCTGAATGTACTAGTAATGTGTCGTCAAATACGGGATCGTGTACATACAGTACAGTACACGACACAGAGAAGTACCCAATATATATATGTATATACATATATATATATATATATATATATATATATATATATATATATATATATATATATATATATATACATATATATACATATATATATATACACACACACATATATATATATATATATATATATATATATATATATATATATATATATATATATATATATATATATATATATATATATATATATATACAACGTGTAACTTTCCTGTCCAGACGACTGACAATTACAAATGTAGAGGCATGTAAAACGCCACAGACCACACTACAACTGCAACCTACAGCCGACCCGTGAGTTGACGTTTAACACCTGCCCCGTTCCTCTCCCTCTACACGCGACAGGCCTGAGTACCTCAATGAACCTCTACAGCTGTGGCCGACCTTCCCCCACCCCGCCACATCACACGATGTCTATTACACCCCGAACAAAAAGAATTTTTATAATCGACTTATTTAATTGTTAATTTGTGTGCGAATTAGTCGCCGGATTAGCATGAATTAACAAGTTCTGTTTAGAATTTGTTTTTAAAAAAATTGTACTCATTAGTTCGAGAGAAGCTTTGATGTTTTGTACAACCTGAAGCCGTCATGTGACTTTAAAAGCCACGTGACTTCAAAACGTCATGTGACATCTTGAACTAAGAAACGTAGGCTAGACAGAAACTAGAATATCCACTTGATAAAACATCAATCCTATCTTTTTCTTTTATTTTTTATTATACTTATTTTTTTACTGCTTCGTCTTTCAGTATTATTGATTTGTTGTGTAGGGCCTTTGCGTTTTTTTTTTAGTTTATTTCTTTAGTTTCTGCCGCTGCGCTTTTTAAATATTCTAGGATCAGTTTGTTTGTTATCGTTTCATCACTTTTACTTGATGTTGTTTTTAACACGCCACACTGTGTGTTTTTAATTTTAAATGTATGATAACCACCCATGTCGCATTCAAAGTGCTGTTAACCCTTCCTTTACGCTAGTGTTTTACGTAGATAAGTCGCAGAGGCGTAGCGAGGGCGGGGCGGGGGGGGGGGTGCTGACCGCACCGGGTGACACCAATTAAGGGGTGACCAAGGCAAAAATTGCAAAATGTACAGAAGAAAATTGCTTTTTTTTGCCAGTTCCATTAATGATTAATTAAAGTTAAAGGGTCTTTCACGTAAAAATCAATAATTATTACAAGGGGGTGGGGGTGACGCCATGACATAAACGTGCTAATTTTAGAGAAAACAATGCTACATCCTGCTGTATAATGCACAGACTAAACATATAAGCATCTTTACTATTAAGTCTGCAGTGATTAAAGCTTACACACACACACACAGAGACATATATATATGATGTTTCTTTGGGGGGGGGACACCTCGAAGTGTCGTACCGGGTGACACTCGAAATAGCGACGCCACTGATATTGATAAGTCGCTAGAAGAAATAAATTAAAACCTGGGAAAAAAAGTAAGAAAAAAAGGAGCCCACTAAATAAAAGAAAATTGTTTTATAAAAAAAACATCGTTTTTTTTTTTTACTTTTTTCTGTTTTCGTAAATTTTATACCATTTCGAACCGTGCACACAAAATTACACGTAGCACATTATCTTTTTCCCATAATAGAGAACGTTATCACTCTAGAGCAAAAGTTTTTAAATTGTTGCTTGATCGAATAGTGCAATCACATGTTAGCTCAGTGGTTCTTTGATCGAACCCCAGGGGTTCGGTGAGTCAGTCTCAGGGGTTCGGCGAAGGTCGTCAAGACGTACCCGACTCGTAGACTTAACTACTGATTTTGTCAGTGCAGACTATAGAACCATAAAGATTTTAAGAAAGGTCCGGTGGATCAGCATATGAAACTGGTGGGGTTAGGTATATCCAAAAAGATTAAGAACCACTGTAAATTCTAATACACTTTGTATGGTGTATAGACTGTATAATTTAAAACTAAAGTCATAAAGAGTCTTTGGGGAAGCTTTAAAAGCTAGACTTGCTGGATTCCATTTATTTAGCTCAGTATATACAGCTAACGATGTCACGTGATAGTTCTCATTACTCCTTGCAAAGAACCATCTCAACAGCAAGATTCATAAACACGGCAGACACTTTGTAAAAATTGTAATATCAGGGGAAATAATCAAATTTAATTGAAAACGGCTAGTAAGAAGACGTATCATTTCCCTTTATTTTAATGAGAAAGTGTGTCAGCTGTGTTCATATAGTATGCCTGATCTTCGAAGTTATTCAAACAAACACAAAAAACGTCGAATTATATTAAATTCGAATACTAATTTAACAAAAACAATATTAATTTGAGTATTTAGGGCCTAAAAGTGTTCTTCTTGGGTTAGTTGGTGATAAGTTAAAGAATATTTCAGACCAACTTAAATAGTGTATAGTGTATAGTCTATAGTAGTGTATGTTTATAAATGCGGTTACAAAGATAATTTTTCATGATTTTCTCTCTATAAAATAAATTTTAAAAAGAAACTTTTTATAATAGCAAATGTGGGCTTTGGATAATGTGAAAAACAAGTTTCAAATACGTATATATTTCATATTATTTTATATTTATCTACAAACAATACAAATTACAAATCTAAGGCAGCGAAATAATTAGATCTAATTGCTTTTTGCTGTAAACTATTTTTTTTCCAAAAAAAAAAAAATATTCAGTAACTGTGCGCTACAAACTTAGGACTTAATATGTTAACGTCGCAGCCAGTTTTTATTTGTTTGGTTTTTTTTTTACTGCTGACATCAGATGTGGCCAACTGCTGAAGCGAAACCGAAAGTGAGATTTTTTTCTCTTCTAGACTTCTAGATCTATATCTATCTAGATTTAGATTTAGACTGCTTGTGGAAAGATTCTAGATTCTAAAAATAAACTAATCTGTCTTTATCTAGATCTAGTTTTTATGCAACTCTTCCAAGTTCACTAAGAAAACTAGATCTAAGTAATAAAATGATTAAATAAAAAAATATCAATATAAACTTTATAATAAAGTATCAAATTTTAAAACTACTGAAATACTAAATACCGAGTCTAGGCTACGTAAAAGCCAAAAGCGTATTTCAAAAACTGGCCGAACAAAATAAACGGCTTAATAATAATATATGAGAGATTTAATATAAAATTGAAATAAATGATAATCTTTTAATACTTTTAATTTAAATCATTTTGATTAAACGATCAAAAGGGAACTAAATCTAGATCTAAAAGCTAATTCTTAAATAAAGAGTCAAAGCCACAAGTTGGCCCAGACCTATTTAATATTTAACTAGGCCCTATTTATTTATTATTTAATTAATAGCTAACTACTATCTACTAGTGATATTTTAATACAAGATTAATATTGTTGAATGTAGATTGTGTGTACTTGTAGGCCTACTGCGACTGTTATTTATTTACTATTTAAATGTATGTCTACTAGATTATAATATATATTATATAGACTATACTTGACTATAGTCTAATTGTGTGGGAGAGTGAACCTGTCACCCCTCCTGGGACATAGGCCATTGCAAAGAGGTTTCCAGGGATCTCTGTTTAGGGCTAGTCTCTCCAACTTTCCCCAGGTGTATCCCTATGTTTTGACGTCTTATTCCAGGGTACATTTCTGGATCTTCCTTAGTCGACTGCTTTTCCCCTGCCCTGTGGATTCCGGATGATGGCCTGTCTTGTTGTGCTGGATACAGCTAGCTGAGTGTCGCCAATCCATCTGTATTTTCTCTGGAGGATGTCTTCTTAAACTTACACTCAGTTTGCTTGTCCGTTGCCATGGTACCTCATTTAGATGGTGTTAGGCCAGCGGATTTGAAGGATCATTCTGAGGAGTGAATTCATAAACGACTGTATCTCTTCTTCCTTGTGACAGTTATTCTCCAAGTCTCAGCTCCAAAGAGTGAACCTAGTTTTATTAGTGTGTTGAAGACCCAGGTTTAATTCCAAGAATTAAATCTCTAGGACCCCACACATAAGTATTCAGAACCCCAAGGCCAACACATGTTTAAAAGCTGCTCTTGCCTTGCCTGTTCTATTGTATACCATTTTGCTTTTCTCTGATGAGATCTTCATAATCCAGTCAATGGTTTTAGAACAGAATGATCATATATATATATATATATATATATATATATATATATATATATATATATATATATATATATATATATATATATATATATATATATATTTGAATGTATAGAATTATTATTATTATGAATTGTCAATTTAAATTAATTTATAAATCTATTATTTATCCTAGTTTTAACTTAATCATCTTAAACTTTTGGCTAACAAAGTTCTCTTAATATTCATTTAATGACAATAGACCCACACTGTACTAAAGCGCAGTTTTTTTTTTAATTTAAAAGCCAATTTAAATATGTTATCAGCTCTAGGAATTAAACTATGGCCTTGATCTTGAGATTAGGTTATCAACACAAAACATAACATTAACAATCAATTCCAACAATCAACATTGATTAAAAAAACAGGAAATCTGTAAGCTACTAGCATGTAAAACATTAGATTTAGTGTTACATTTTCACACACTTGAACTTAAAATGTAATCAACAAAATAATAGCTATGAGGTCAGGACAGATTAACTTATCTTAAACTGAGGAAGTTTATCATTGTCATTACTAATCTAATTGGTTTATTATCCCAATTTCCTGTCAGCTACAGTCATTGTTCTGTTCTGGTTATATTCTGTTGTTTTGTTTAGTGTGTAAACCACAATTTTGAAATAATTCTTTAACCAACTGCTATATTAGAAATAAAGTTAAATCATTATCATTTATCAAGGATCATCTCTTCAGTTGTTTGATTTACTCAATGATTTAAAAGTATAGCATCAAGGTAATTATATGATGTTGCAGAAAACTATTTTTTGTTTACATATATCTAAATTTTTAGTTAATTGTTAATTAATGATAGTCAAATATTTCAAAATGAAAAACTGTTAGTTTACTAGTATTTGCTAGTAAAGATATGATGGAACACATTATATATTTTATAATGTATATATTAATATAATAGTATATTATTCTTTGGGTTAGAATTTTGTTTTGTTTAATTGTTGATATTTTTTTTTATATTTGATGATATATTATAGCCCTAACCATTGGCAACATTTCAGTAAGCTGCTTGTCAAAAATATCCACTCTCACTATGACACATAAAGTAATTAACTCAGTGATTGGAGTTATCTTTTTTTATATGGCATCTCAAGCTATGGGATATAAGCATATCATTTTTATGCACGGAATTTTGGCTGGACCTTCTGAATTTGATTACTACAACCAACTTGTGCAGCAAGTAAGATATAATTTTTTTTAATGTCAGAAAAAGAAATTATGTTGTGCCAGCCACAATTACCATCCTGGTTGAAGTCTAACATTTTCTGTACAATAACAATTTTTTAAGTGATTCATTTTTGTAAAAATATGTGACACTTAAGTTGATTTTTTTTTAAACTATAGTACATTCGATTTACAAGAATTTTATTTTATTAAAACTTCTGAACTTATACAATTTTTTAACCACTTTTAAAATTTGGAATTTAAATTTCTACTTTTGTTCCAATAATTAATTATATAATTTACAGTTTTTAAAATAACATGCAAATAACTTTTCTCACATTGAATATAACATGACATAACTTATTAAATGTCAATCAACTTTAGAGATAACTGTGATAGGTATATTATTCAGCATACACTTAGATAGCTATGTATTTTGTTTACTGATTAAATATGATACATTTAGTTAAAACTGCAGCAGTATAAAACTAAAACTGCAACAAAATGTATTTTTCCTTTAAAGTACCACCCAGGGACCCCATCAACGCAAGTCAACCTCTACAACTACAAGGACAGTATAGTTGATATGTGGACACAAGTTGTCAAAATAGCTGACACTGTGAGGCCTATCTTATTGAACACATCTTCAGAAGGAACAATCTTAGTTTGTTTTTCTCAAGGTGAGAAACTTCTTCAGTGGTTTCTTTTTTTGTTACTATATTAACCCTCTAAAGACAGAGCTTTATCAGAGAAGTAGTGCCAAGAAGATGGAGCCTATTTTTTACCTCTGTATTTTTATCCAATAAAAATCAAAGGGAAAAAAAAGCAAACGTTCAATGGAAGCCACCAGTGAAGTGGCAGAATGAATTAAAATAGTAAAAAAGCAATCTGATTGGCTGATCAGATGCTGCGAATCCAATCTTGTCAATTTCTACTATCATTGACTGGTCGATAGATCGGCTGCTCCATTTATTTATTTTTGGGATAAAACCTGTAGCAGATAGATTGGCTCAGCAAACCCAAGAAAGATAAATTTATATTAATAATATCATTACTTTCACTCTAGAAAAAAAAGTTTCATTCAGCTTAAGTTTTAGCTGATATTTAAATATCTTATATTTTTTTAATTTATTTTTAGTTCAGATATTGATGTGATTTCAAAAATTTTTAAAAGACAATAATAAGCTGCCAGTCAACATCTTGTACTTTATTCTACCATCTAGGTGGTCTAATTTGCCGAGCACTGCTGGCTACAATAAATCACAATGTCCAAACTTTCATCAGCCTAAGCGCACCATTAGCTGGTCAGTATGGAGGTAAGTATCACAGTTTATATATTTAGCTTCAGTGAAAACCACTATAAAATAATTAACACTAAGAAAGTTATAAAATATTTTTTAATTGCTTTATCTTTTTCAGATTCAGAGTACCTGAAATATTTTTTCCCAAATCTACTTAAAGAGAATGCTTACAAGTAATTTTTTTTTATATTTTACTTTTACATTGCATCGGTGGTGTAGAGTTATATTTTGTAAGTTTGTTAGTCATACAAGCTAATACATTTGAGAAGACAACTATTTTTAACAAAAAAATAAAACAAAAGTCTGTAAATGAATTCTTGTATTATTTTTTAAAAATGTAAACAGGCTGTTCTATACACCCATGGGTCAGGATGTATCAATAGGAAGTTACTGGAATGGTATGTAGTTTTCTTTTACAGTAAAACTGGGCTTTTTTCTCAATTAATTATTTGTGTTAAGATTAAGACAGAAAAGGTTCATTATCCCCCTTTAGCTGGGACAAAGTAGGCGGATTGCAAAAATTGTATTATAAAAACACCAGGTTATTAAATAAAATATACATTTCATACATAAAGGTATGTTAAATATAATTTTTTTTTACATATACAAATTACAAATGTTCAGTAAATACATATTTTTAGGATAAAATTTTGTCTACAGTGTATATAAAAGTATGAATGCATCATCAATACAGTGATGATAATTAAAAATTCCTGCTAACAATGTGTCAAATTTAAAACTATGTTTAATAAACAGATCCTAGGCAACAAAAGATGTTTAAAGAATTCTCAAACTTTCTGGCTGTGTTAAATAACCAATCAACTGTGGTGAATCCAAAAAGTCAAGGTCAGTTTTTCCTGTTCAATTTATATTCTCAATTCTAAAATTAGACACTCCTTAAAAGAATTTTTTTTTAATAAAAATCTAGCTTCTACCAATATAGTAATATCATAAGCTAGTATAGGACTGCTAAGCAATAAAAATCTAAGTAGTATCATATCATGAAAACAATTTTTTTTTAATAATTTGCTTTCAGAATTCCGTTCCAATTTCCTGAGACTGAAAAACCTGGTTTTAGTTGGGGGACCAGACGATGGTGTAATCACACCGTGGGAATCCAGGTGAGCCAGCATTTGATAACATTCTGGGCAAAACTAACTTACTGATAATGTGAGCATTTGAAGGCTGACACATCACACTTGAAATTTTCCCGAATTTGACACTACACTGATATTTTAAAATTTTACCCTTATAAAAAAAATGTTGTTACTAAGAAAGACCTAGATTATACAAGTTTAAAGTTGAGTTTGCTATTCTGATCAATAATTTTACAAATTATTAATCAAATTTTATAGCCAGTTTGGAATGTACAATGCCACTGATGCAGTTTTACCAATGGAAGAACAAGAGGTAAATTACCCTTACACAAATTGACATTTTAAAATCTAATTGCTAAAAGACACTTAATTGACTTAATTTCAACTTTGCAATTACTTTGGCCCAATTTTACTAATATTTGCAAAAAAATTATATCGTTTTTCCTTATTAAAATATTAAATTTAAAGTATTTCATCTTTTATTCAATGGTATAAAAATGTGGTTAATTATTCTGTTTGTTTTTCACTATTCAGTGGTACCAAAATGTGGTTGATTATTCTATTTATTTTTAGTGGTATCTAAATGTGGTTGATTATTTGGTTTATTTTACAGTGGTATCAAAATCAGGTTAATTATTTCGTTTATTTTTCAGTGGTATCAAAATGATGCATTTGGTCTAAAAACCATGAACACCCAGGGTCGTATATTAAAGTTTGTATTTAAGGGGATACAACACAGGCACTGGCACTCAGAGTTGCAGGTCTTTGAGAAGTGCATAAAGCCCTGGCTTTAAATAACTGGACCATGCCCACAGAAGAGAACTTTTCCAATAGAAGCTTTTGCTTTCTTTAAACATGTTGAATGCTTTTTGTTTTTCCAAGTCTTTTTAAGTCAGGAGTTAAATAAAACCAAAGAGTAGATGGTCGTGAGATGAGGTATATCTAGTTCAAAGATTTTTTTAATTCATTTAATTTATTTATTACAAGCAAAATATGGATGCTGAAAAAGAAATTAAATTAAATAAATGTATTGCATTTTAGTTTACTGAATGTTTTTTTAAAAGAACATTTTATAATCTTGTAAAAAAAATTGAATGTTCCTACTAAAACCACTATAAATCTTCGAATGTAAATGTATTGCATTTTAGCTTTACTGAATGTTTTTTTTTAATAATCTTGTAAAAAAAATTGAATGTTCCTACTAAAACCACAGTAGATCTGTAAAAAGAACTATAAATCTTTGAATGTAAATGTATTTATATTTTTTTTCCTACTAGAAAACCAAAGTATAGAGCTTGAAATCAAAATGTTCACTATTTTATAGTATTATAAGTATAAGCAGCTAGTCTTTTATTTATTTTTGTTTTATTTGTAAAATAACATTGTATTTTCTTGTATTTTTATAGTTATCTCCCATGTATATTTAATGTGTTTAAAAAACCTTGCCTGGTATACAAGGCTTCAAGTCTTTCACATCACAGTTTTATTGCTATTTGCTTTACACAGATATGTACTGGTATTTTTATTTTGATACAGCTTACCATACACTATGCATTACTTGCCTTTTGCTACAAATTATTATGCTGGAATTTTAAAAATTGTACATGTTGCTTTATATATTGTAGAACTTCCAGTTTTCAAAGTTGACCATTTATACACTAGCTGTAACCAGGAATAATTTTTTTTTAATTTTTAAAGCTTACTATTATTATACAAAATCTGTAGTCTTGGATAAATTTTAGTCAGTCATCCTCGCAAGATTTATCTGCCCCTGGTTTCAACACTGCATGACCACTTTATCTTCATATGCCATGAAAACAGTTGAATCAAAGTTTTTTATTCACTCATCCCACTACATTTTTGTTCTATTATGACAACAGCTAAATCCTTGACCAAAAACTTCATTGTACATTCTCTCAGGTGTTTTTAAATTAAAGATTACCACAAGCATTATATTTTATGACAGGTTTTACTTTGAAAATGTATCTACCCAAGTTCATTTGGAGATATTTACAACTATTTATAAGAAATTTATTTGAATTCTAGCAAATGATATAGAGCTTATAGCATTGCTCGTCTTTTAGACATATTTGATAATTTAATTTTTATGTTACATAGCAGTTTGTATGAACATAACCACATAAAGCTAGTAATTGTAAATGATTTTAAAATGTTACATAGTAGTTTGTATGAACATGACCACATAGAGCTGGTCATTGTAGTTGATTTTAAAATGTTTTTGACTTATAAGTTAGTGTGACTTGGCAAGATTTCCTGAAATTATAAAATGGATTTTAAACTTTTAGAGTTTTCCAGAAAGTGAAGTTGTATTGAAATATTTGAAAATTGTTATTTGGATGTACTTGAATGTTTAAAGCTAATTTTATTAAACTATAATTTGAATCATTTTGAAACTTTTTTTTTTATCTTTTCCCTGTTTTTTGACTTTGTGGTTGGTGTTGGAAAATGTTGCTCTGTACTATGAGTTTAATATTTCTTAACAGTTGAAGACAATTAGCAAATCTACTAAGTGGAATAAGGAAAGGAGGAGTTCGTTATTGTATGATTGAATGCTGAGACTCAAACAAGCCTTTATTGTTTTTAAGACCTGTACACCACATGATTTCAGTTGATTAATATTTTGCCCTGTACTTTTTAATGCAATTGGTTTGATGTTAGAGTAATATCTATTTAACATGATGCTTGAAATTTAAAACAAATACGCATAAGAAAAACAGCTGATTTTTTTACAATTTTATTGATGTTATAATAATATAAAAAAAGTGTATGTTAAAACATAAATATTTGACAATACTACAAAACAGCAAATTAAAATCTGTCAGAGGAATGCTGGAGACAAAACAAAACTAATCCCTCAAGGCATTAGGGTCAGGCCTTAGATGCCATAAAAAAAATTGAATTAATAGTTTACAAAAAATGACCACAAAAACCGCAGAGTGAAAACTAGTATGAGCACTAGACCTAGGTTAAACAGGTAGAAATTTATCCCAGAACCTGGTCTTGTCGGGAGAGGTCTTGTCCGCAGGGGACGTTCTGTACGCTGCCACTGGGTCATGATGGCCTCTCTTGCACCTGACCACTGCCCTGGGCCACTCAAACGGTAGGTGTATGGCGTCACTGGGCCAAACATCACAGTTAAGGCCAACACAGGATCTCTTACGATAAGGGCACCTGTTTTTATTTTAATTAACAATCATAAGTAAGTAAAGTTTCCCTTTAAAACCTGACGGTCTATGGGGCAAGTGAAGTAGACTTCACTTGTTTCTGTGACCTCGGCATATGAAGAGATAGTGTGGTCAGCACTATGCCCAGCCACCTTTACTTTGCCTAACGTGAGTTAGGTACCCATCAGAGTTGGGTGGACTCAGGGACGGTCTACTGACTTGAACCCGGATTCGAACTCGAGACTTACGGGTTAGCAGTCCAGCTTTCTACCGCTAGACCACTCCGTCCAACAATCATAGCGATTATAATATCCCAAAACATTCTTAATACAGAAGCGTCCCTAGGCGGAGGCAGGGGATGCGGATCGCACCAGGTGACACCATTTAGGGGGTGACACCAAGACAAAAAATTGCAAAATATATAGAAGAAAAATGCTTTTTGCCAGTTCAGTTAATGAAAAAATTAGTTAAAAGGTCGACTATACATACATACACACACTGACGTATATATTATATATATATATATATATATATATATATATATATATATATATATATATATATATAAACTGTTTTTTCTTTGGTGTGTGTAGGGGGGTGACACCATGAAGTGCCGCACCGGGTGACATCCGCCCTAGTGACGCGACTGAATACAAATACATTTTACATGTGAGTGCACTTGCAAGTTTTATTTGTTTTAAAACATTAATAACAAACTTACAAAAATTAACAGCACACCCCACCATGTCAGCCAGATCATCCATGTATGAAACATAGTCCACTTGAATTGTGTGACGCGGAGCCGTGTAATATCTTTTAGCCATGGCAGCTTCTTTTACTTTGATGTCTTGCCACATGGCACCACTGGGAGGTAACACAACATCTCCCTGAAAACAAGATGAGAAAAAATTTAGTTTTAAATTAACTAGAATTTGACTTTGAGATATCAGCAACCAAATGTTCATGCTAACTATCAAAAATCATCATTTTTTTCTACCTCTCAATCAAGCATACCCTAATTGTATTTAAATGTCTACCTGTAAATCTTATGTTGGTAACTTAATTTATTATTAATGTTTGCTGCCAGCTTCTCTTAGATAAGAACCTTCATGAGATATCCTTCACATCAATTTTTACTCTAATAACACTATAATGCCACTGTTAAACCCAAAAAAATCAATTTCAGTACTGTTATAATGTTAGAATATCTTGAAAAGTTGTTTTGCTTTTCAGTGTCTATTATGAAGGCCAATCTACATTATCTTGTGGAATTCATTTACCATTCACAGATTGTCATGAAATCTTTTACATTATTTTAAAATTAACTTTAGTTAAAAGTTAAAATGATTTCTTATTTGAAAATGTTTTCCAGAGTGCTCTTGTCATATTCACATAATAGAGATATCTTTAATATCATCATTCAGTAATTATTGTTAATTAATAATTATACTTGAAAAAAAAATATTTTAATTATACATGTATTTTTTTCATAATTGATGATAATTATTATGTTTTGTGTTGGACTAATATTATGTTTTATAGAACCTGTTTATTCCATGTTTTAAGTAAACTTATATTTATGCAGGTCAATAAAAAATATGGAATGTGAAGTGGATTGTTATCTTAGACAGATGATACAACAGACGAGGAAGCCATTTTTATGTACCTTGTTTATTCTGAATCGGAAACGGAACAATACATGCAAGGGACATCATTCAAACATTATAAGACTAATAAAGAAGAATGAGCTCCCCTCAATATAAAGCTCAATATATTACAGAATACAACACTAATGATTCATTTGTAATAAACCGATAACAATGATACATCCTTACCTTTATGACTTTTGTTGCCAATCGAGTCTGCATCTCTGCTATAGGAGTTAGTGCCCCAAATGGCTGGAAACAACCAATGAAAGCCAGAGTATTTCTCTCCAGATCTGGAGGGTACATCATCTTATACAGGTGTACCTTGTTATTTTTTACCTCAATCACCTTTAAGAAAGATCACAAGCCCATTTCTGACATTATAATTATAAATATAGGGGTTATACTATTTAAAAATAAATGTTCTAATTAAGCCAATTCGAAAACTAAAAATGCTTTATACTGTGAAATTTTAAAAATGATAATTAAAAGAATAAGGATAGTGTAGCTCTTGATAGAATTTATTGCAAAAAATATAATATGTATTGAGTTGCTTGTATAGTATTTAAAACCTGAAGTCACAGTAATATATTTTACAACAATTAGATCTACAAGACCTCAAAATTTCAGCCTTATTCGTTATCTCTTCTGTCCACCGCATTTTTCTATAAAACTACATTTGCCATCCCCTCATGCACTCCTCCCCCTCCCCCCACACACACAGCTCATACTAATGCTTCACTGGTGTAAAGAAAACTATTTTTAATTAAGATAATTCAACGTTTATATATTAGTTAAAGCTAAAGCATGTAGACATTTGACAAGCACTACAAAGGGGTCATCCAAAAATGACATTACGCTTTTTTTTTGACGATTTTTACCTCCCCCTCCCCTCCGTCACACCCCAGCCTACAACCCCCCTCAAAATTGTAATTGAATTTTTTTTAAACATCGATACATTGTTTCCAAAATCTTGTCTGAACTCTGTCAAAATAGAGTATTTTAATCAGTTCCTATTACAATTTATTAAAACAGTTTTCTAAAACGCGAAACAACGTCTAAACTTTGTTTTCTAACATTGCTTAATTATAATGCAAAAGTGTGACGTCGCACTATCTGAACCCCCCTCCCCCTCAACACACACCGTCACAAAATTACGGACCCCCCCCCCCTCCCCCTACGAGTGTGACGTCATTTATGGACGACCCCAAAAGTCTAAAGTAACTAGTAACTACCTCTTTATCTATGAATGGAAATCCAAATGTATAGCCAGTAGCAAGTAGAACAACGTCAATGTTGTCTTCAGATGTCCCGTCCACAAACTCCACCCCAGTTTCTGTAAAACATTTGACGTCTGCTTTAATTTTGATGGAGCCGCAGATAATCCTATTAGGCATGTCGTCATTGACAAATGGATGTTGCTGCAAGACGCCATGTTGTGGTTGGAGGCTGAGAAATAATTCATTGGAAAACAAGAAATAAAAAAGTTAACAGTAAACTGGCCAGATTTAGCACATATGTTTATCGATGAGATACTTGATTCTTGGTGGTCATTAAGAAAAGAAAAAAAACATCTTAAACAGCTCAATGTTGGACTACAAAAGAAGCTAACAGTGGCGTAGGCATGGAGGGTGATAGGGTTTTGAACCCCCCCCCCTCCCCAAGGAACACCAAAATCACAGCTCTTAGTCAAGCTATAGATGGGCTCATGTTGTTAACTTTACTTTTAGTTTCAAAATAGTAAATATCATAAAACCATACCCTTACATTCTCAAAAAAACGTTATAGAATATTTAAATATGGACATTTTCTTAACCCCTCCCCACCTCGCCTTCCTTTCAAACAAAATCCTACCCATTTCACTGGGTACTAATAACAATTACCTAAACAAAAATCTTTCATAATTACTTAGGAGTTACCAGCAGTGGCGTAGCGAGGTCGGGTGTCACCCGGTGCGGCACTTAATGGTGTCACCCCCCCCCCCTCCCAGAGGCGTTGCGACCCTACCCGGGGACAAACTTTCAAGTTTTCGATTTGCAACCCCCCCCCCCTCAGACTTTCGATTTGCAACCCCCCCCCCCCCCCCAAGTTTTCGATTTGCAACCCCCCCCCCCCTCAAACTTTCGATTTGCACCCCCCCCCCCTCAAGTTTTTCTCTATATATTTTCCTATTTTTTGCCTTGGTGTCACCCCCCTAAATGGTGTCACCCGGTGCGGTCCGCACCCCCCCCCCCCCTCGCTACGCCCCTGGTTACCAGTAAAGCTTATGGTCAATTTTCTTGTTTATTCGTCTCTGCTGAAACTTATCAGCCACTCCCGGAAATATGGATGCCATCTTGAGAAAGGGGCGCCTTAGAAAGAGCATGTCAAGTGGGTATCCATTATCCGCCACTCGATTCAGAATCCATGTGCCGCGTCTGGTACTTAGGTACACCTAGAATAGTTTTAGAGCATGAAAAATTAAAAGTAAATGATTAGCTTCGGGATCGTTGGACTTAAGTGGCGAGATGGGTGGAGGGGGGGGGGACAAACTAAGAGAATCGTATTTAAAAATGTATTTAATAATATTTATTATTTACGTCATTTAATTTATCATTTATGCACCTTTAACAAAAATTTGTTAACTTAATTTTTTTTAATCAGTTATTTTCCATTTTACACAGTTAATTTGTAATAAAATTGTTCAATGTACCTAGTGTGTGTAGATTCGGATTTACTTCAATATTCACTAATGGTTTAAGATGATTTAGTCAAAATCAACCTAACTTGAAAACAGTTGATTATTAGCTATGCCCCTTACGAAGGGAAAAAACTCTATTAATATTTTACATTAAAAATGTGGCTTTAACTTTAATGAATTTTTTCCGAAGGAGGGTAGGTCTGACTTTTTGTAATGATGTACAGTAGTGACGTCATTTATAAATGCTGCCTTTTGAAAACTAATAAGTAAACGTTTAGGTAACTAAGCAAAAAAATGAAAAGAACAAACATTTTGAGAATGATATATTAAAGAAAGATATATATATATATATATATATATATATATATATATATATATATATATATATATATATATATATATATATATATATATATATATAACTATCATTTTAAACAGAAACAGTTATTCAAAGGCGATAAAACCAGAATTGTTGCCTACTACGAATTTGCAATACATCCTATTTAACTATTTAATTCATCGAGTCTTAAAATCGTTTTAAGTGGGTGGTGCAAATCGAAAGTTTGAGGGGGGGTGCAAATCGAAAGTTTGCTCCCAATGGGGCGCCAAATTGGAGGTTTGTCACCGGGCGTCGGGAAGGGTCGCTACGCCTCTGCTCATGTTATGTGCTTTTTGTATTCAAACATTGTTTAAACCATTAATTACTTTTAGCTACTTAAAAAATGTTAAATGCCAAACGAATTGCTTTAAAAAAAAAAGTCTCAACCTGTGAGGCCCTTCTGCTCAACTCTACTGCCACATCACCTCCAGAGTTCCCGAACCCAATGACCAAAACTCTCTTATCGTCATACCCGTCTGGCTTTCTGTAATCGTGTGTGTGCACCACCTGCAAACAGTAACCGTACAGCTAGGATACAGGGTAGAAAATAATAGTATTAATAGCAGAGTTTCTGAATTTCTTGTAGGCACCTCTTCAAAGGTGAATCCTCCCCCCACCCCACCCCCCCCCTGAGGCGTAGCGACCCTTACCGGCGCCCGGGGACAAACTTTTCGATTCGCACCCCCCCTCAACCTTTCAACTTATTTTTCCAACCCATTTTGGCGCTCCCTAAGGTCGGCGCCCGGGGGCATATGCCCCCCCCCCCTCGCTACTGCCCCCCCCCCCCCCCAACCGAAGTACGCCCCCCCCCCCCCCCCATGAAATAGGAAATTAAATAGTTTATAGAAAATATATATTTTAACAAATATCCACCTCGCCCCGAAAAAAAAGTTTCTAGTGCCCCCCCCCCCACCCCCCTCAGAAAAAAGTCTGAAAGAAACACTGATTAATACTGTCTGAAATTGTTACCATGAAGGAATCTTCAAAAAAATCAAATGCAGTAGGATGTAGGTTGCTAGAAGTAAACTGTTGCTTGAAAAGACCAACGCTAACCCTATCCTTACCCTTGTCGATACCATTTCCCTAACACATTAAAGTCTAAATGTAACTGCTTTTGTTTTACAACTAACAACTTAAAACTTTTGGAAACTTGGGAAAAAAATACTCCAACTCGTACTTAAAAATATCAAATAAGTCTACTTTTCAAACTTTGATCCCTTATTCCTCTTCTTCTTCTGCTTTGTTAATTTAGTTTATGGTGGAGGATTTAAACAACAAGTCCAACTTCGTGTATGAACTGGAACAATGAACAATATAGTTTTTCCTTGAGTGGGGTGTATAGGGGCCAATGTTTGGATCGCGCCTGGCTATATAAGGAACAGTCCTGAATGACGTTTTCTGTATTCTCCGGACCCATGCCACAATCCTTATCAACAGTGTTTCTTCCAGACTTTTTTCTCCGGGGGGGGGGGGGCACTTGAAATTTTCGGGGGGGGGGGGGCGTAGACTTTCTTCGGGGGGGGGGGGGGGCGGACACTGTTAAAAGTATATATTTTCTATATAAATTATATAAATTTCATTTCGTTCGGGGGGGGGGGGGGGGCGGTAGAGAATATATGCCTGAAAGAAACTCTGCTTATCAACTATGTGCTTCAATATTTATTTATTAAAGAGCCTAAACTGCCAGTTATTTGTTGGGTGTACAAATCAAATGGATCAATTTCTTACCTGCCCTTTAAACTGGTCTAATCCGGGAAAAGTCGGGACATTTTTATCCGCATGATGTCCGCTACATACCAGAACCCCATCAAACATTTCTGATTTCTCCGCCCCTGTGTTGCTACTCTTGTACTCAACCAACCACTTGCCAGTGCGGGCAAAGTCGGCAGCTTTTGTCACCATCAAGACTTCAGTGTTGAACTGGATGTGTTGCTCCAAGTCGAACTGCTCAGCATAAAGTTTATAGTACTTGTAGACCTATAAACGAAAGAGAAAATACAAAGTCAGTGAGAAGATTGAATAGCAATGTATGTGCTGAAAAAAGGATTTTGTTTGTGGGAGTGTTGAAATAGTGTGTCCATATGTGTGCGTGTAATATTTATATTCCGTGACGCTTTTAAGTAAGCATACATTGTGGCGTTGTGGTTTTATGAGATTCACAATTTTGAAACTAAAGTATTGAAAGAGAAACAAGAAGTGCGCCACCATTAAAAAACTTTAATTTAGACATTTGATATTTAGGGTGGAGGGTCCCTCGGTTAGGGATTCTGCTTCCCCCCCCCCCCTTCACCCCGCTTTCCCACTATTCTACGCCATTAAGGACTGTACTGTAACACCACATTCAAACGCCCCACATCCTTACTTGTGTGTTGTGCATAAAGACGGAATAATGTTCCCCAGCCCCACACCCCAACGTATATAGTATATAGTATATAGTATATACGCTACTGGGTATTGTACTTAACTCTAGATTCAAACGCCCCACATCCTTACCTGTGTGTTGTGCATAAAGACGGAATAATGTTCCCCAGCCCCACACCCCAACGTATATAGTATATACGCTACTAAGTACTGTACTGTAACTCCAGATTCTAACGCCCCCATCTTTACCTGAGAAGTGTTTCTTCCAGACTTTTTTCTCCCGGGGGGGGGGGGGCGGTAGACTTTCTTCGGGGGGGGGGGGGGGCGGACACTGTTAAAAGTATATATTTTCTATATAAATTATATAAATTTCATTTCGTTCGGGGGGGGGGCGGTAAACTTTTCGGAGGGGGGGGGGGGGCTTAAGAGATGCCTTGAAGAAACTCTGTACCTGAGTGTTGTGCATAAAGACGGGATAATGTTCCGGCATGGGGAAGTCACTGTAGCACATCATCTCCTTACTAGTGTTGATGACCGTTGACTTCATGACGCAGGCCTGGCCATCTACCGGCTCATCCGTGTAGTGCCACAACCCTCCGATATAGTTGGATTTTTCAAAGCACACGGGCGTTAACCCCTCGTCCAGGCACGATTTGATGGCAGGGAGACCACTCGCGCCCGCCCCTATAACTGCTATTCTTTTCGTAGACATTTTTCGTTCAAACTAAATCAAATGGTATTGTAAGAAATAAACGATATGAGATACAGTGGTCGGAACTTGGAATAGTAAATACAAAAGAGATTTCAATAAATGGTTAACAAATAACGTATCTAAAAAATGGAATTTAAAAAATTTAAAGGAACAATCAATGGCTAGCTAACACTGGAAGACTCGAAGGGCGAGGATAAATTAATTACAGTAATTGTTGATTATTTTTACAAGTTAGAGGCTACATTGCCCACAGAGATTAAACTAAAGGTTTAACTGTGGACATGGAAAATTGGTGGAGCACTTATACATGATGTATGTCGTCTACTTTGCTCCACCCATGCTCCACCCAACTCTCCACCCAATCCGTTACCACCCCCACCCCACCCCACCCCAAGTTATCGGATAGTACTTGATCTGGTCCAGTGTATTACGTCCTTAAACCTTTAAGTTCATCATAGGCATGTGTGTGTGAAATATTCCACACACATTTAACCTAAATATGCGTCGGTTTATCTATCTCACTCCCTCTGTTCTACCCCCCTCCCCACCCCCATCTGCAAGATTTTTTAGTAATTCGTCTAAGTTGCATATGTTTATAATGTTAGTTCGCAATGTAACTTAAGTATTTGACTCTCAATCTGAGTAGTTATGACTCTCATTATTTGAACGCGTATGACTCTCAGTCTGTGTCGTGTATGACTCTCAGTATGTGTACGTGTATGACTCTCAGTATGTGTACGTGTATGACACTCAGTCTGTGTGGCGTATGACTCTCAATATGTGTACATGCATGACTTTCAATATGTGTCCCCAAAAAGAAGAGCAGCTCTCACAAAACGTGTTTATTTAAGAATAAATTTAAGAACTTTAAGAAATCAAACTGATTTGTCTACAAATATGACTGCAGTGAAAACATGTGAAAACATTACTGTGCACATTGTCTCGGCGTTTATTGTTTATCAATATCTCGTGTTGACGTTAAAAAGTTGATGTGCCATTATCATGGGACAGTTTCACCGACACAAAGGGAAAGAATGCAAACATTCGCCAAAACAACGATGCGACATAAACAGTGTTTCTTTCAAACATCTCTTCGGTGAGATGGGTGGGGGGGGGGGGGGGCGCCAATGCACGTTCACCCACAACCCCCACCTCCCCCATGAACGAAATATAATTTATACAGAAAATATATACTTTTACCCGTATCCCTACGGTTATATACATCAAATAGTTGTATTTATATAGATACAGCAAACACTTTTTTAACACATTTAATACTTTTTTTATTCTTTTATAAAGAATATTTTCAAGTCATTTGTCAAAAAAAAAAAACAGTTTGTGTAACATTAACCTATTTTTAAGAAAAGTAACATTAACCTAGATCTTTTAAATTTTGTATAAACTTTTATCATATACAATGTTCCCTCTAAGTTGCGCGGTCGTGCAGTAGTCGAGAACTTGCCCCGCGGTCATTTTGTAAAATACATATATCCTTGTAGAAGACTTTGAGAACATCGCGCACACAAAATACTCGTTGCACACTAGCTTTTCCTTTAGACGGAACATTGCTTACATAGCGTATTTAAAACGATGCTACCAGTTACATACAACAATTTTGTTTTGATCAACTTTCAGGTTTATAAATAAACTTACCAAGTACAACTTTTCTTTTTTTTTTTTTTTTACGATGGAAATGTAGAGCTTAATTTAGTTTTGTTTGGCCAGTTCTATGGACTTCTGCAAAAGTTCTGTATTGATTTTATTTAAATAGATTACAAATGCTCAATCACTTTCCAGGTAGACAACTGTAATTAAAGAACGATAACTGTAATTTAAGAACGCCAACTCCAGATTAAGAATGACAACTCTAGTTTAAGAGCTAGACTATTTTATACTCACCTTAGAAAAATATTTCTAAATAAAATCATTAATGTTATCGAGGCTACTAAAAAACAAATAGAGAGGGTCAAGGTAACAAATAAGCGCGTAAAATATTCTATTTGTATGCACTTTTAAAAAAACTGTTTTGGCTAATCTAGTTTCAAATATGGATTCAAATTACAGTTGGCTGATGATATAAACATTCAAAGTTTCATGGCTCCCACTTAATTGAACATCTGCCGACGCACATGCAGATCCAAGCTAGATGACTCCGATAGGAGATAATTTGATATGCATAATCCAGCACATAATGTCAATAAATATTTAATGTTTAATGATTGATGAGGACTTTACTACCAGTAGTGTCCTGAGTATCATCAGGTGGGGCCCCACACCCAATACGCAGATGTATATTTATCAGATTCTTCTGGGGTGGGGCGAGGTGGGCGTACGATTGTACGAAAAAAGTCACACAAAAAACACAGAAAAAAAGTCACAATTATATTTTTGCATGGAATTTGTTAATACTTGTATGTGTTAAATATTCAGCGAGTGCAAATCAACTTAGATTAATTAACTGTAATGTAGTGTGCGTAGGTTGTATATGTACAGTAATAATTATAGCAAACGTAAAAATATTTAGTATGAAATGTAGGCTTTGCTTCCGCTATACATATAATATTTAATAGAATGTTCCAGCCTTTTCGGTTTTCATTTTAAATTAGCGTGAAATGGCATAAAGACGTTGCTAATCTGACTTGCTGCCCTCGACTCACCGCAACAATAGACCACATTCAATACGCTCATTGCGTAACAAAGCATAGGATCAAAACAGAAAGCCGACACTGTACAAAGGCTGGCTTTGAGGCAAAACGTCAACAACACACAATATGGAAGGACAAGGACGCCATTGTTCGCTGTTATCATGAGCTTTAAACTTAGTCAAAAGCAAATAGCAATCAGAGATCTTTCAAAACTAAAGCCATCTACCGATTACTAGGGGTCGGCGTCGAGTCGGTAAAAGCTCATGGTTGCTACACCGAAAAGTCTCGAGTTCGAACCTTCGAGCAGACGAGGCTCGTTAGCTGGGGACAGCAACACTTCTAGGAGAGACAACTCCTAAATCAAAATGCCGCCTTGTAGTTTGTTCTTTGTTGGACAAAGGCTATGGAAGCAAATCCAAAAAGCAGGCTGAAATCGTATACTTAATTGTGTTGAATTAGGATCTAAAATTCTGAAAGAAGAAGAACCGATTAGATTAGTTTGATCTGTTTTGAGTATCAGCTAGCCATTGTCCATTACAGTTAGGTTTACATTACATTAAAGAAATTATAACAATATAGCAGTTATTAAATTGGGGTCCGTAATTTTTTGACGGTGTGTGATGAGGGGGAGGGGGGGGGGGGGGGGTTAGATGGTGCGACGTCACACTTTTGCATTATAAAAAAGCAATGTTAGAAAACAAATTTTAGACGTTATTTTGCGTTTTAGAAAACTGTATTAATAAATTGTAATAACAATTGATTAAATTACTCTATTTTGACAGAGTTCACACAAGATTTTGGAAAAATATAGCTGTTTAAAAAAAAAATTCAACTGCAATTTTGAGGGGGGGGGGGGGTTGTAGGCTGAGGTGTGACGTCATTTTAGGGGGGGGGGGGGTCTGGCTTTTTATGACGACGTGTGACGGAGGGGAGGGGGAGGTAAAAAATTGTCAAAAAGCGTGACGTCATTTTTGTATGACCCCATTTGCAACTTAACTGAAACAAGAAATGGGCACAGTTAACCAGTGTTGGCCGATCTTTCCCGCTTAGTATCAACTATCAAATCACGGATCAGAAATGCTCAACTTTTGTGGGGCCAACTGGTTGTAGTGTAGATGCACCGTCTAAATGGCCTGTGACAAAACAACTCAGCAGATCGTTACCCGACAAAATGACCGAGGTGAATTTCCCCAACAAAACAACAAGAGGTTGGCTCCAAACAAAAAGACCCCTACATATTGGCTCTAGACGAAAATGCTCAAGACAAATGCAGAGGCGTAGCTAGGGGGGGGCGGGGGGGGCGGCCGCCCCGGGCGCCGACCCTTTGGGGGCGCCAAAAGGGGTGGGAAAAAAATTTTAAAGCTGATTTTATGCTGCAGTTTTGAATTATAAACTGTCTAAGTTAAGAAATGTAATGGCTACACGCCTTTACAAACTGATTTAACTGTTTTCTACCTTGATTTCTTAATGTAAAACATATACTCTTAAGAAACAGTGACCGGCAAAACCGCTTTGAAGCTTTACCTAGATGGGGGGGGGGCGCTTTTTCGAGACTTAAAACGGAAGAATTTACACTAGATTGTTGAGTCGATAAACGTTACCACTATTAAAAGAAACCAATTGTATTGAAACGTATTGTACGATTGTTGAACTGTAAAATACGTTAGTGACTTTTATCAAGATGGTGCAGGGGGGGGGGCGCTTTTAGGCTAAATAAAATAGCAAAATTACACAGGATTCTGAGAAAACAACCTTTAGCTCTCAGAAAAAAACGAATTGTACTGTGCATTGTATAATTGTGTAACATTTTTAAAAAAAAGTTTGTTACGTTAAAAACCGCTCTACAAACTTTGTCCAAGATGGTTGTGATGAGTGTGTGGGTGGGGGTGGGGGCGCTTTTTTCGCTAAAAAAATCGCAAGTATTTGTACTGGATTGGTGAGCAGATAACTCTCTTAACACTTAGTAAAGAAACCAAGTGTATTAACCAGTGGCGGAACTAGAAAAATTGGGCCACCCCGCAAAAATTTTTGTTGGGCCCCATAGTTATTTTAATATATATATATATATATATATATATATATATATATATATATATATATATATATATATATATATATATATATATATATATATATATATATATATATATATATATATATATATATATATATATATATATATATATATATATATATATATATATATATATATATATATATATATATATATAAACAATATTGGAAAATACGAACATAGAATACTCAATACTAGCTTGTTCGAAATTTGAAAATATAAAAAATTCTTAGTTTATATTTTCAATTAAAACATGATACATCAACACATATCATTTGTGTGAGTGCTATAGTCTGGTTTGAAATTCTCTATTTTAATGTCTGACATAATGTTTTTGCTAATTTGCATTCAAAAGAATATGAAGCATGAAAGCTTTGTATGTGTAATGGTTTCTCACCTTATGTTTATTTTAAAGTTTGTTTTGTATTTATATTATTAGTTTTTAATACATTTTCTTTTTATTCAATGTCATTCTTTATTATGTTTTTTTTTAATAATAATTAAGAGAAGTAATTGCTTTTTAATTTGTTTAGTGCAAATCTATTTAAAGTTTCTTAAAAAACACACATATTTGACTTTCTAAAAAAGGGAAATAAGTCATGGAAGTGGTTTGATCGATTGCCTATCTTTCACACTACAGCTCAGGAATATTTTTTTTGTTACGCAACAGCATGTGTTAACTACTGTATAACATCACTACTGTAGTAGATCTGTTTGTTATATACAAAAGCTTTTACCGTCAAGTAAAAAATGCAAGAAAATTATTTCTTTAACTATAAAAAATTTATTATGGTCGGCTATGGGCCCCTAAATGGTGTGGGCCCCCCCGCATTGCGGGGTCTGGCGGCACTGTAGTTCCGCCCCTGGTATTAACGCGTAATGTACAATTTCAATAGCCAGTTTTGTTTTTAAAAAAAGACGCGACTAGTTCTTTGTAAGATTCTTACGATTCTCTCAACTTCAACGTGAGAGATCAGATACTTTTGATTGATTGCATTACATCTTACCTGGATCACTGAACTATATTAAAGAGAACTAAATATCACGGATTCTTGAATCCCTAAGCCACTAACCACCACTTTTTTTCCATGCTCTTATTTCATTCTCCACTGTCTGTAATCTAGCTCCAAGCCTTACAGTAAAAGAGACCACATTTAGTTATAGATCCTGATTGAATTTTTTTGACAATGCATTTGAATTCTACATTTTCTTAGAGTATTAAAACGCGTTTTATTGCTGCTGATTATAATCAGAACGTCATGGGCTATCATTAAATTGATTGTTACTGCTTCTTCAATCAATACAATTAGTTCTGCATTTGTTGTTGACGTTGTGCGAGCAGTGTTTCTTCCAGACTTTTTTCTTCGGGGGGGGGGGGGGGGGGGCACTTGAAATTTTCGGGGGGGGGGGGCGGTAGTCTTTCTTCGGGGGGGGGGGGGCGGGCACTGTTAAACGTATATATTTTCTATATATAAATTTAATTTCGTTCGGGGGGGCGGTAAAATTTTTCGGGGGGCTTCGCCCCCCCCCCCCCGAAGAGATGTGTGGAAGAAACTCTGTGTGCGAGAAGGCAGGGCTAATCTGCGAAATCCAAGACTACGAGCTGTTAACATCCGTTGGATTCCAGTTTGTTTTCTCTAGCTTGTTTTGTCATACCATCAACCAATCAACGAAATACCCATGTCGTATTCCAATGTGAACTATAAATATTTCTGATAACTTCTTCTTGTATGTCACTTGTGTGTCCTTACTCTAACAAACTTCGAATCCAACTATGTACCATATCACAACAGAGATCGTTCCAAAACTAGAACATTAAAGGCTGGTCTAAACATATTAGCGTTAGCTACAAACTACCCTCTAACACAGATCAGGCTTATTTTTTTTACTGACATTACTAATCTTTCGTAAAAAAAAGTTAAACGCATCTTAATGGGAATTAAATTGTCGTAAAGTTTTAAGGAATGAAAATCATACAATGTAATTATTAAACCTTGTCCGGACTGTAGCGTACACGCTTACTCACACGCTTACACACACAAATACACTCTTACCCACACACAAGCTTATATATAAACACACTATCACACACACATAATTATACACACACACATGTATATATATATATATATATATATATATATATATATATATATATATATATATATATATATATATATATATATATAATATATATATATAAGCGGGGGGGGGCGCCAAATTGAAAGTTCGCCCCGGGCGCCGGGAAGGGTCGCTACGCCTCTGGACAAATGTTCTCCAGACATATTGGCTACCTTCAAAAAGATCTCTAGTCGTTCGGACTCCCGAACAAAGCTACTGAACGAATTAATTATTTAAATTAGTATCTCGAGGCACCACCGCAAAACTGGACCATTTTTCTCTGTACTGTTTTTAGTCAGGTAAACTAAAAATACGAACCTTTTTTTTGTAAACAAAAGTTTAAATACAATCGCAGTGTGAGTTTAGATTACTTTACTAATGATATACATGTAAACATAGATCTAGATCTAAATCGAGTAGAACATTACCTACTAGATCTAAGTAATACTTAGTGACAACCTGTTTTACGTCTTACAGATTTTTTTTTCAATGGTACTTACTTGTACCATAATATTATATAATACGAGAGTAGACACCGGGCTACACACTTCACTTCACAGTCACACACACAGTGACACTGTAGCAGCTAGCTAGACTCAAGCTAGAATCTAGTTAGATACTTCTAGAATTACTAGATCTAGATCTAGTAGTTGTAGTAACTAGTCTAGTTACTACTCTACACTTTACTGTACACTACACTTCAATTAATTTGCGAGACATGTCATTTTTATTGATGTCTTAGTCTTAGTGTCTTGTGCTTTATATCAATATATGTAATATTATAAACTATAAGAGTATAATAATAAACTAGCTAAGAACTAGCAAGTTTTATTAATAATAGGCCTATATCACTCTGATTCTTCCATAATGAGTCTTAATCTTTACACATACAGTACACATTGTAGCACACTGAAATAAAGATGGAACTTCTGCCTAGCAGTCACACAGAATTTAACAAACCTGATTACTGGGAGAGTTTCTTTAAAAAGAGAGGAAAGATACCATTTGAATGGCAAGTAGGCTTTTAGTTATTTGTTAGTTACTTGCAACTTATCTTTATGTGGCACATTTATTTTTATATAAACACATCTGTTTTTGAAAGTCTATTGACTGATATCGTTAATGTCGATATACCAATATGACATATGTTTTCTGTTTGTTCTCTCAGGTATGGTGAGTACCCCCAGCTGCACACAGTGATCCACAAGTACATCACCCCATCCAACTCAGTCCTGGTTGTTGGGTGTGGAAACTCAGTGCTTAGTGAAAATATGTATGACAACGGCCTGCAGAATCTGACCAACATTGACATCAGCGAGGTTGTCATCAGGCAAATGACAGAAAGAAATAAACAAAAAAGGCCAAATATGACATTTGAGAAAGTGGATGTTACTCAGGTACATACATGAATTATGATAATTTACTGATTTTAGTCTCCTTGGGTACAACTGTTTGCCCGAGGGAAGGCCGGGTCTGATAGTAGAGCTTGTGACTGCAAGTCTTGAGTTTGGGTCTCAGGCTCGTTTGTAGGATGCCCGTGAGGCTACCCAGCTCTGATGGGTACCTGACTTATGTCAGGGAAACAAATGCAGCTGGTTATAGTGCTGATCACATTATCCCTTTGGCGAGGTCATTAAAATAGATGAGCCCTACTTCATCTGCCCCATGTGTGAGAAAGACCTTCAGCTGGGTTAGGCATGTGGCTAGCTCTTCATTTATTGAGGTTAATGAAACAAACAAACTAAAAGTGTGCTCTACTTCTATCTGAGAATACAGCTAAAAGTACCTCACAGCAAATATATTTTTCTTTTCAAACAAAGTGTTTTGCCTGTCAGTGATACATTTTTGTTGGATTAAACTTGTCAAACTGAAACAATTGTGTTTTCCTGTTTCAGATGAACTACCCAGACGGTCATTTCCATGTTGTGCTGGACAAAGGCACGTTGGACGCTCTGCTGGTCAACGAGGAGAGTCAGGTAGTTGACAACGTCCACTTGATGTTTGCCCAGGTGGCCAGGTGTTTAAAACTGGGGGGTCGCTACATTGTCATCTCCCTGCTACAAGATCACATCCAGAGAATATTCATGGAATATTTCTCTAAGCTGTAAGTACACATTGATAAGATTTTAATACAGCATAAAGCCTTTCATCAGTTTACACAGGAGTAGGTCTTCTTTCCATAGTTTGCTTAAGAATACTTTACTTGATCTACTTGTTATTAGATATACTCAAAAGTACTCTTATTCTTATGTACTTAGTATTAAAGAAACTCAAGTGACTGATAAAATAAAAAATATTTAATATAAATTAATTGCAAAATGTTATTTTATTTACTTTGTGTATCTAATACTAAGACTTGTTTTATGCAGTGGATGGCCAGTTAGGATTCACAGAATTTACACAGAAGCTTCAGATTCTGAAAAACACAAGTCCCTGTCTATGCCAGTTTTTGCTGTGGTGGTGACCAAACTCAAGCCATTACCAAATATGACACAGGTAAGTCACAAAAATCTTTCCCTAAACCACTACAATTTTTAGATAGCTATGAAGAACATGAAGTATTCATCATTGAAAACATAAAGGTGGTCAATTTGGGCTGTTGTGTTAAGTAGAAGTTAAAAAGTCATTTTAAAGTGCTTTCTGCTACCTTAAGGCAGGAAACAGATTAGTACCGCAAAATGCATATTCGATCTTCGCCGTTCATAAACTTTCTAACAAGACATCGGTCGGGGATTTTGTTTATACTAATAAATAGAGCTATGTTTTTACAAGCTTCGTTAGCAACATTTTTGTGGAATACGTTTTTTATGACATTTTGTGCCGCGGCGAAGGATGCGAAGTATGCAAATCTAGACGGAATGGATCTACTTGGAAAAGTACGTGTACTGCACTAATAAGGTAAGAAATAATATTTTGTAAAAATAACTATTATTTTTATGGATTTTTCATTAGAAATGATTGCTGTAAATTATGAAAGTAAAAAAAGGTATATTTGAATGTGTTTTTTACTTTAATTTGAACAAAGTGAATGACCATAATTACGACACATCGGCGTCGTTGAAAGCGGGGATTTCAGTTAATTTTTTACGGATATAAAATTGTATTTTTTTCCTCCGAGGCATGTATTTAAATAACAGTTTAGTTAAATGTATTTAATTCTGTAAAATATAAGTATTATTTTGCCGTAGATACTTTAAAAAAAAATGTTTATGATTTTCTGTCGGGGAAAATCGGTATTCGCACCATGCACGTACACGTAGTAAAACTAGACTTATCTTTAAAACACGAGAATCTTGAGTACACTGCGAATAACAAAGTTTTTAAATTTTAGTTTACTTTTGACTTTAAGCCATTTGTTTTAAATCGAAATTAATTGATAATGTAATTATTTCAAAGTAAAAATTTTCCGTCTGAAATGGGTTCTAATCTTCGCCCACTGAACCAGCCTACGCACGACATTCGCGCGAGTCTGTTTCTTCGCAATAGTCTGTATAGTGTCGAGGGCTAATTCTAAAAAGAATCGAGTCCTTACTAATCCAATGTTTATTAAAATTAGGTACAATTGTTGGAACGCATGAGAAATAACAAATTAATATTTCTTTAAATCTATAGCCAAAAGAAAGTAGAACTTTATAACTCTGTAAATTATGAATCGAGTGACGGCTGTCGTGAAAACGGGAGCCATTTTACTCTTTTTTTTTAGGGTGACCTACTTTTATTATATAATTTTAAAATTCATCGGTTTGATAAGCAGCTGAGTAGCTGACTACGCATGCGATATGGCTGGCACGTTTTGGGATAGGGATCGAGTACACAGTAGAATTTTTTTTTTCTTAGAACTAAGCGTATTTTTTTTTTAAATCAAAAGATACTTACATATCAGTTGTTGATTTCAATTTCATTATAGAGCTAGATCTAATCACTAACTTCAGTTTTTAAAAGTGATTTTGCATCTAGATCTAGATCTAGCGTATTTTCAAAATTACGTAAATCTAGATCTATTTTTTAGATCTAGATTCTAGATCTAGATCTACTTACTATTTGACAACCGTGTCAGTAAAATGAGGTCAGCGCTTCCAGATTCTTAGGTTTTAATTATGTTTGTCATTTTGATCTATTATAAGTAGCATTAAAACAACTGCATCTATTATCAACATTGTTTTTATATGCCAGTTCTAATTATACATTCTGTTCATTACCAATTCTAATGAAATCGTATCAGGCCCTAACACCCTGTTCACCTACACTGACATTACACTTGAAAGACGCCACAGAGAGTCGTAACTTTAAATTAATGTTTTAAGTACTAAACAATTATAATTAGCCATGTAAATGCTGCAACTATATTAAAAATTGGCATATAGACATATTTTATTAATTATGTTTTTTTATATAGACCTTCTATATTTAACTCTGTTATTTTTTTCTTCCTCAGAGTGTTTCTAAAAGCCACAATTTTAAAGGGGAGGGCGGTCGTTTTTTTTTCTCAAGAATAATTATAGAAATAAGCTATAAACTGGTATATTTTGTAAAGTTTGACATAATTACAAATAAATGTATGCCTAAGTGACATTTCTGTGTAATTATATTGTTAATTTTGTGAATTTCGTGGATTTTTGGACCTCACTACATTTAGATGTAAAAAAAAATCTCAGTTGAGTGAGTGTGGTTAATCTACATTTTGAACGTGATGTAAATGTCTAGTGCTATTAATTTTTATATTTTTGAATTCCTCGATTGTTAAGCAACAAAATTGATATATAATATGTCAATATTTGTTACTTTGAAAATTGGCGAAAATCGACCCTAAAAGTAGATGCTTGAGGGTTGAATCTGTTTCCTGCCATATAACAAAATCAGTGTTTTATTGAGTAAGAGTCAACTTCTCATTTATTTTTTATATTCCAGATAGTTGAAGTGTGTAGGTATGAAGATAGGATCGATCGCCTTGAGGACATCAAATTTCTGTCAGCAATAGTCAAAGACATGCAGTATTACCACATGGTTAGACATCAGTTAAAACAGCAGTAAGTCATTGGTCAATTCAGACTAGCACAAATTAGATATCTACAGCAGTAAGTGACGTCATTTGTCCCTTCTGCCTAGCACTAGTTAGATATCTACAGCATTAAGTGATCATTTGTCCCTTCAGCCTAGCACTAGTTAGATATCTACTACTTAAGTCCAGTCAAAGAATGTTGTCATTGGTCAAATCAGCATTCTTACAATAGGTAGGCCTACAGCAAAATCTGCAAAATAAATAATATTTAATCATTAGAGGTGGGTTTTTTTTATTGCATAGTTTATTCAGCACTAGTGCAATTTAGCTCAAATTTATTTTTTTGAAAAAAGTATTTTTAAAAGGTCTTTAAACATGTAAAAAAATGAAATTTTAAAAATCACTTTTTATTTTCATTTGTTTTTATTGTTTGTATTTTTAAAGCTTACCAGGTGATTGTCAGGTCTCACTGGAGCTCCACTCCCGAGATTCAGCAACGCCACGCTATAACTTGACTGTGGTAGATTCCCCTCAACCTCAAGAAAATAAATTTGCCATTTTCATTGTGCCACAGGGGAGGTGAGAATAGCTTGTCTTTAGTTATTTGTGATTATAAAGGGATTTGTTTAAATTGAAATGTAACTTTTGAAGGTTTTAACTTAGGGAGACGGAATGGCTGTTTTCAACAGATAAAGGGAGGCTACACCTCCTGGAAAGTTCTGGGTTTCAGCGGTTGGTTGTGGTTACACTTAACAGGGGCCATGAGTATGAAAATTTAGATGCCATCAAAGCGGAACTGTCCAACAAAGTAATGGAACTGGCACCTGCGCACTGCCCTCGTAGATCGCAGGTAAACCTTCTCACATGAAAATTGGGAGGTAGGGAAGGGAAATAGGGGGTTCAAGGTACCATGATACAACATCGAGTGTTGATTGCAATACATATTATTAGAGCATACCTTCATATTTTATTACTTGGTGATAGATTATTAATATGGATAATCATTTTATGATCATGGTTTATTTAAAAAATCAGTGCTTGTTTTAATTTTATAAACATTGTAAAATAAAGTCTTTTAAGTGTTTCAAATCTATATTGTATGTTCAATACTATTCATTTTTTTAATTAATAGATAATCTAGAAAACTTTGATATGTTACAAAGCATTAAAAGAAAATTTTTCTGAGCCTTTTATATATATTGTATGGTTGCCACTGTTCATTTTATTATCTAAGTGCTTATTGAAACTGTTTAAATATCAAAGCTGTTTTTATCATTTAACATGGATTATAAACACTTAGCTCAAAGTATGTTAACAAACACTTGAAACTTATTTCAAATATATTCAAACACTAAACCTATACAACTGTCTAATATTTACTTTTTACATTTCTTGTTAGATTCCATTCCTTTCAATTGGTGAGGATCTTGGCAAAAGGTACCCAGTGACCCAAGGTCAGAGTGAGATCAGTGGGGAGTACCTTGTGGAGGATATTGAAATGAATGGGGGACAGCTGTTTAGGAGGCTGGTCTTTGCGCAAAATAAAAATGTTGTACAGTCTGAGGCTCGATTAACAGAAGGTGATTTCCGCAGCAAAAATATATTTCTTGTTAATGATTATATCATTTGATACTATAATTAAAAATATTTATTATTACCAGTTTTAAAATTATAAAGTTTTATTTCATTTAAAATTTTTTTTTTTTCATATGGTTAATTAAATTATATATATATATATATATATATATATATATATATATATATATATATATATATATATATATATATATATCAGTACGTAAAAAAAAGAAAAGGAGACAGCAACAAGCAAGGGAAGGTCCACCTGGTAAAGTCAAGGTGGACAAGGGCTATTTGTCCAGTGATTATCTTATAGCAATGGTTGGAGGATTTGGTTTACTTCCTGTCTTAGGTAAGTTACTTCCCCTATTATTTTTCTTTTCATTCATTCAGATTTCATCTCAAAAGTGGTTTGGTGCTAGTATTTGTTTTGCTTTTATTCAGACAAAACTATGATTCTTCTATGTAAGTGTTTTAAGATCATCTTTTATTTCCCATGCAGATAGACCCACAGTTGGTGTTTTAGTTGGCCTTGGAGGTGGTGTGTTCCCAAGTTTTGTCCATGATACCTTCCCACTGGTGAGTCAAGTGTCTGTTTAGTTAGGCTGATGTTATGTCAAGTGTAAGCTTTGTACCCAGCTAAAGGTCCAGAAATAACAGCACACACCTGGAGTGGGGATGTTTTTTTTTTATAAAGTTTTTTATATTTGGTTAGATTAATTAGGGTGGAGACCTGGAGGGTTACAAAGACAAATACTGATAGGCTACAGGCGTTCGTAAACAAATGCCTACGACATATACTAAAAATAAGATGGCCAAACAATATCAAACAAAGACCTGTGGCAAATTTTAAAGCAACAGCCAATAGAGAAAGATATCAAGACCCGTAAATGGGGATGGATCGGACACACGTTAAGAAAAGAAAAAAAAAACATCGCAAGGCATGCATTGGACTGGAATCCCCAGGGGAAAAGAAGGGTGGGCCGGCCAAGGAAAACATGGAAGAGAACGTTAGAGGAAGAGGCGAAAACAGCTGGGCTCTCATGGGCACAGATTAGAGGAGCAGCCCAAAACCGAGTCCGCTGGAGATGTGTGGTTGCAGCCCTTTGCTCCCCAGGGGCCACAAAGGAGTGATGATGATGATGATGAATTAGGGTGGAGTGGAGAAATTTGTATGATGTTGGAGGCAGTTCAGACCTTTAGTCTGTAGAGGGGTGGGGGCTAGGGGGATAACCTGCTAAATTTGAATGACATTTATGGATAGTCTCTTAAAATCATGTTGCATGTAACATTTACTGTAAGCTAAACAATCATGTTGTATATAAACAGTACTGTTACTTAAACAATCATGTTGTATGTAAACTGTTATGTAAGTTAAACATTCATGTTGTATGTAAACTGTTGTATAAGCTAAAGATTCATGTTGAGTCTTATGTTGGCAGGTGACCTTAGAAACGGTTGAACTGGATCCCACTGTGGTGGACATTGCCCAGCAGTGGTTTGACCTCACACCAGATGAGAGACTCAAACTTCACATTGCTGATGGACTGGAGTTTATAAGGCAACTTGTTGCTTCAGGTATCTACTTATAGTTCATGAGATATTTCATAAGAAATCATTAATTTCTTTTATTCACGTGTTCATTAACAAGTTTTAAACATCAGATATTTGTTTATTTTTTTTTATTTGTGAGCAAATTGTGTTTAAAATTACTACTTCTAATCTTTCAATTTTCAGCCATAAAATTTAAAGTTTTTATTTGCATTCTCCTTCTACTGTGCAGGGGAGAAAAGAAACTTTGTTCTTTTGGATGTAGACAGTAAAGATCACACTGTAGGATTGAGTTGTCCCCCCATCGCTTTTGTTGAACAAGAATTTTTAAACACCATTTCAAAGTTACTTTTAGATGATGGTAAGAAATTAGCATTTTAAAACCTATTGTTTAATAAAGTATGTACCTGGTTTTTTTATTTTGAAAAACATAACAAAGAATTATTATTTGGAGGTTATGTTCTATTTTGAAGGTGTTTTCATGCTGAATCTGGCAAGCAGAGATGAAACAATCAAGCAGGACATCATTCGTCGCATCCAGTCCGTGTTTCCCTCGTGTGCTTGCGTACACCTAGAGGAAGACATCAACACAATTGTTTACGCCAGCAACAGCCCGGTCACAGATTCAGACGTCCTGCTGGAGTCACTCACACCTGTGTTTAGAAAGATGGATGCGGCCATCTTGTCTGTGTGGAAAGATACCAATGTACAGGTGGAGGATGCTATGTCGGCTTTAAAATTTCTTGACTGATGAACTTTTTTTTTTATTAGTGTTGAGATGCAGAGTTCATGTAAAATTATGAAACAATTAAAAAATAAAATAAACAATTTTTTTTTAAATTTACACTTTTAATGAATCAATTCTTGCAGCTTAATCTATTTGTCACTTCTTTTATTAAAAACATTGAGCTGCTTCACCCTGAAAGCCAACTGCTGCCAAAATAGTGGAATAAATTTGTCTTATTAAAAAGACTATAAAATTTATCAACAAAAGAAGTCCTTAAAAAAGTCTGATAATGACTAGTATAGTAATAGTAAGAAATTTTAAAATTCATCAACAAATCTGTAGCATAGATGTAATGCTACATGGGATATATGTTTAGAAATAAATATTAAAAAAGATGAGTAGTAACCAGATTTAAAAAAGAAAAAAATTTAAACTATTTTCTTCAACTCAGAAGAATTACAGATAGGCAACTAATTGCCATTTAGAATATATACTCAACAGATTAGGTTATCTTAAAGGTCCCCTCTCTAAGTAAAGACCACTTGAGCATCAACTTGAATTATTTATAGTCACATTTGAAATGGTTGATATAAGCCATAAAAGAAAACAATATGCAGCATAAATGTTATACAACAGTTCTAAAATCTTTTGAATAAATGACTTGTATTCAATAAGAGATGGAAAGCAGGCACCAACACAACAAGGCAGGTTTTAATTGTTGAAATATGTCTAAAATAAAATTTGGACACTGTCCAACTAAAATATGATCACATCAAGTTTTTACATACATGAATAGAATTTAAATTTATTTACAAAACAGTTATGTCCGTTAAAAAAAGTAATCATTGAGTATACAGACTGGCAGCAAAGACTATGTCACGCTTAATGCTGCTGATTGCCTCCTCCATCTTCTGAACCAGAGTTCTGTCCCCTATCAACTTAGCTGCATTCCGTACATCACAAAGCAGTTCATGCAGTCTCTGAATGGTCCTCACTATAATCCCTTCTTGGACATCCGTCAATGTGGTTATGTTAGAAAATGGCTGTTAAATACAAATAAACAATTGTTAGCTAAAATTTAAAAATATGTTTTATATATAATTAATCCAAAAGACTGGCTTAATCCATAATGCTTACCATTCCCCTAGCCCATTCAAAGACCACCTCTACAAGTCCAAAATGATATTGTTCAACAAAATCTTCCACTGGCATTGTCATGCCAGCCTCTTTTTGAATTTGTCCAATCATTTCTGCCTTCTTTAATATCTCTTCCATGCCCTAAAATGTCATTAAAAACATGGTTATTGAATATTGAGGAATGTTTTTCATAAAACATGTCAATCAATAAAACCAAAGTTAACCTGGGGACATCATAGTGAGAGATTTTTAAAATAATTAGAGTATATTTAAATAGATTATAAGTAAATCATCAACTTTCCCATCAGACACTTGGGGCAGATAACATTCAGTTAATCTGTTAAAATGATGTCTGCACATAAGGTGGTAGTGTTGTCAAGCTGCCTTAATTTTCCCTCCCATGAGTTAGGTACCCATCAGAGCTGGGTGGACTCGAGTCCAGGATCTGAACTCAAACAGTTATGCATTCTACTACCTGACCATGTCATCCTATTAAAATAAATGGTACTGACAATTAACTGCTGACTGAGGTTCACTTTTGAAAAGTCTCACCTTTTTTTGTGCATCCGTCAGATTAGGTTCACTGCACTTCTTCATCTCAAACACAAAACAGGACAGTAGAGCTGCGATGTCAAATGGATGAAGTTCCGTGAAAATATTCTCAAACACCAGCTCCGTGATCATCAGCTCATGGTTGCTGATTTCACATGCCACGCGGCCCTTCAGCTGGACTATGTTGTTGGAGTTGATGTTGTTTAGGTATCTCAGGACCTGCAGGCCAATCAAAACAAAGTGAGAATAGATGCTACATTGTGTGGGTTAACTTGAGGTTAAGGAGTACCTCAATTAGGGATTAGCAGTAGGATGAATGATTATGTGGGGTTAAGTAGTGGTAGGAGGAATGATTATGTGGGGTTAAGTAGTGGTAGGAGGAATGATTATGTGGGGTTAAGTAGTGGTAGGAAGAATGACTATTTGGGGTTAAGTAGTGGTTGGATGAATGACTATTTGAGGTTTAGTAGCGGTTGGATGAATGACTATTTGGGGTTAAGTAGTGGTAGGATAATGACTATTTGGGGTTAAGTAGTGGTAGGATGAATGATTATTTGGGGTTAAGTAGTGGTAGGATGAATGATTATGTGGGGTTAAGTAGTGGTAGGAGGAATGATTATTTGGGGTTAAGTAGTGGTAGGATGAATGATTATTTGGGGTTAAGTAGTGGTAGGAGGAATGATTATGTGGGGTTAAGTAGTGGTAGGAGGAATGATTATTTGGGGTTAAGTAGTGGTAGGATGAATGATTATTTGGGGTTAAGTAGTGGTAGGATGAATGATTATGTGGGGTTAAGTAGTGGTAGGAGGAATGATTATTTGGGGTTAAGTAGTGGTAGGATGAATGATTATTTGGGGTTAAGTAGTGGTAGGATGAATGATTATGTGGGGTTAAGTAGTGGTAGGAGGAATGATTATTTGGGGTTAAGTAGTGGTAGGATGAATGATTATTTGGGGTTAAGTAGTGGTAGGATGAATGATTATGTGGGGTTAAGTAGTGGTAGGATGAATGATTATTTGGGGTTAAGTAGTGGTAGGATGAATGATTATGTGGGGTTAAGTAGTGGTAGGAGGAATGATTATTTGGGGTTAAGTAGTGGTAGGATGAATGATTATTTGGGGTTAAGTAGTGGTAGGAGGAATGATTATTTGGGGTTAAGTAGTGGTAGGAGGAATGATTATGTGGGGTTAAGTAGTGGTAGGATGAATGATTATGTGGGGTTAAGTAGTGGTAGGATGAATGATTATGTGGGGTTAAGTAGTGGTAGGAGGAATGACTATTTGGGGTTAAGTAGTGGTAGGATGAATGATTATGTGGGGTTAAGTAGAGGTAGGATGAATGATTATGTGGGGTTAAGTAGAGGTAGGATGAATGACTATTTGGGGTTAAGTAGTGGTTGGATGAATGACTATTTGGGGTTAAGTAGTGGTTGGATGAATGACTATTTGGGGTTAAGTAGCTATAGGATGAATGACTATTTAGGGTTAAGTAGTGGTAGGATGAATGACTATTTGGGGTTAAGTTTAACAGAAAGACAAATGAGAACTACCCCGATTTAAGGCTAGCCGTAATGAATAATTGCCACAAATAAGAAAAAAATACAATTTATAACTTCATGCCTCCAAAATAGCCTTTGAGCCTAAAACCATCAGAATTGAGGTGCTATGGCAACAGACAAATCAACTGCCAGCTGAAGAAGAGATTCTCCAGAGAAAATAAAGATGGATTGACCATACAGTCAGGGAGCCTGTATCCAGTATAACAAGACAGGCTCCACAGGGCAAAAGAAAAAGAGGCCAACCAAGGAAGATTTGGAGACGTCACCTGGAAGAAGACACCAAGAAGATTGGATACACCTGGGGACAGTTGGAGAGACTAGCCCAGGAGAGAGATAAATGGAAAGCTCTTGTCAGCTGCCTATGTCCCAGGGGGGACGACAGGCAAACCTAACCTAACCTTGTAATGATTAAATGGGTTAGGTTTAGCTGTAGGACAATCAAGGACTACCCTGGTTTAAGTTAGCTGTGATGATTAACTAGGTTAAGGTTTAGCTGTAGGAGACTCAAGGACAAAAGACCACCCTGAGTTAGGTTTAGCTGTAGGACAATCAATGACTACCCTGAGTTAGGTTTAGCTTTAACAACCCTGGTTAAGGTTTAGCTGTAAGAGACTCAAGGACAAAAGACCACCCTGAGTTAGGTTTAGCTGTAGGACAATCAATGACTACCCTGAGTTAGGTTTAGCTTTAACAACCCTGGTTAAGGTTAGCTGTAACTACCCTAGGTTAAGGTTAGCTGTAACTACCCTGGTTAAGGTTAGCTGTAACTACCCTGGTTAAGGTTAGCTGTAACTACCCTGGTTAAGGTTAGCTGTAACTACCCTGGTTAAGGTTAGCTTTAACAACCCTGGTTAAGGTTAGCTGTAACTACCCTAGGTTAAGGTTAGCTGTAACTACCCTAGGTTAAGGTTAGCTGTAACTACCCTGGTTAAGGTTAGCTGTAACTACCCTGGTTAAGGTTAGCTGTAACTACCCTAGGTTAAGGTTAGCTGTAACTACCCTGGTTAAGGTTAGCTGTAACTACCCTGGGTTAGGTTTAGCTGTAACTACCCTGGGTTAGGTTAGCTGTAACTACCCTGGGTTAGGTTTAGCTGTAACTACCCTGGGTTAGGTTTAGTTGTAACTACCCTGGGTTAAGGTTAGCTGTAACTACCCTGGGTTAAGGTTAGCTGTAACTACCCTGGTTAAGGTTAGCTGTAACTACCCTGGGTTAGGTTTAGCTGTAACTACCCTGGGTTAGGTTTAGCTGTAACTACCCTGGTTAAGGTTAGCTGTAGAACAATCAAGGCCTACCTGAATCCTCTGGTTGAACTCTGGCAACAGTTCCAGACTTTCATCAGACAGCAAAAATTGAATTTTTTTGTATTGATCCTTGATCACCATGTTTTTTGCATGTTCTGAAAACTAACATTTTAAAAAATTCAATAAACATTTAACAAAATGCTTTTTCTTACTTTAATTTTCACCTACAAATGTTTGTCTGTGTGACTTGTTTCCTTTTATAAGAAGCACCTCAGTAAGTAATCATTTTTAAAAGCCATGTAGATTTAATGATATATCAATAAAAACTAGTAAAGTTCAAACCTTTAAATAAAAAGTTAGAAGATATTTCAGATACAAATTAACAATGCAAACAAAAATCATTGACTAACAAAGACTATAGATTTTGTAATTACAGGGTTAAACCACTAATAAAATTTAGTTGATCTTATCCAAATGAAAAAGCTAGCTACCTAATTCTTAAAAAGACTAAATTCCTGAACTTACATGTTCCAAGAACTGTGGACATTTTGTACAGTTAAAGTTAATAAAACCCTCCTCTAGAAATTGTAGCGAGCGACACTGTTCAACCAATTCAATGTCTCGTAGCTTGAGGTCGTTGATTGGATGAAGTCCTGGTAAACCTGACGGGTTTGTTTCGCTGAGCCGAGCCAGTTCTTGGGCCGCTGTTGTTACACAACGATCAGGTGGGTCATCCCTGGTTCATGAGTACACACATTTAAAAAATGAACTCGGAATAAAAAATGGCAGATTTTGAATATTTTCAAGCCATTACTTTATTTGATATTTGTGGTTAACAATCTGAGCGGTTAACAAAAAATACAATCAAAAGCAACAAAAAAAAATTTAAAGCAAAAACCACACCTTTAATAAAAAACACAATTTAAAGCAAAAAAAACTATTTAAAGCAAAAAACATAATTAAAAGCAAAAAACACACATTTGAAGCAAAAAACACAAATTTGAAGCAAAAAAACACACATTTGAAGCAAAAAACACAAATTTAAACTTACTTGAATCTAAGACACTCTCGCTTCTTGCAGTCCATCACAATGCCAGTAGCATCGATTTTAATAACGGAAGTTGTTATTTTAACTATGTCAGAGCTACGAAGGTCAACGACTTTATGCCAGCATGGGCCCTCAGGTAAAAACAAAGAGCTAGGTAGGACAGGTTCAAAATCTGTAACAAACAACAATAACAAAGAACTAGGTAAACTAGGTTCAAAATCTGTAACATAAAAAAAAATATAATTTGGTTAGGTAGGACAAGCTTAAAATCTGAAACATGTAAAAAAACATTCATTGGACATTAGTTCCTTTCTTCCTTTTTTTCATATACTCATGTTCATGGGCTCATTGTCCAAGTAAGAAGGTTCATCTTTAAAACAATCCATGAGTTAACTAAGAACCTAAACTTAAGTCAACTTAAAATAAAACATAATTTAACACTCTGTAAACCAAACAAATATTACAGAAATTTAAACTCACCATCTGTGCTTTTCTTTGTTTCATTTGGTGAATCCTTGTCAGATATAATTAAAGTTTTATACTCCCTCTCATTGTTGGTAGCCATTTTGGATTCTAAGATGACCCCTAGAACAGCCTGGCCCATTGGACGTTTCACCATGATGACGCGGCCAGCAGTTAAACACTTGATTGCTATTGGGTGACTGAATATTACTGACTGAAAATACAACAATTGTTTCACTTAAAAAAAAAAATTTCAGGACAGACTATCTCTTTTTTTTTTATTAAAATGTTAAGACCTATTAGATCTACTTTTAAATCAATAATGAAACATATTTATAATTATATTAAATTTATCTCAATCCCATCTATAGACAGACCTGTAAATATTTTTGTAGCCTGTAGTATTCTTTACAATCCTCGTAATATTTTTCTAAATCTAACGAACACAAGTAGCACTCAATGTTGTGAATGGTGGCGATTTTCTTCTTCAGCTGTTCCAGAGACTCCTTGTGCTTGGATGTGTCCTTCTGTCTGTGAAACTCGGAGAAGCTCCGTTTGATCATATCCTGTACGCGGAGTTGTTCGGCTCGTAACAAGTTTAATATCATGGTGTACGTCAGTCTAAACTGAGACTCAAGGGTCGTTGGTTTGCCCTAGATTAAAAAAAATATATGGAAATAAACTTTAACATTGCAGAAAATTTAAGAGAGGACTGCTTGGAGTCAGGGTTTAAGAAAAAATAAGGAATCTGTTTATTAGTTTAAACATGAATCAATGCCACTTGATCTCTAATATTTAAGTTTAATTTGTTTAGCATTGTTTACAAAACAATTTTTTTACAAGTTACTTTATTCATTTACTAATTATTTACCTGATAATTTCTTTAACAATTCTTTGTTATCCTAAATTTTCAGCTAATATTTAGTTGATGTCATATCATTATTATTCTGATTCTCTCTCTTTATTTATGTATACTTCATATTTATAAATGTGAATTGCCATAGTACATCTATAGAAAAACCTTACAATGTTATAAAAATAATTGTAACATAATATTTAAAATTCAAGCGGAATAGTGTAAACACTCAACAAGAAGGTACAAAAGAAACAACCAAATAAACTTTCAAATAAATAGACCACAAATTAGTTAATTAGATGATAACTAGGTATGTCCTTCATATGCCTAAGTCAAAAAACATATGAACTCTACTTTATCTGCTCAATGGATTGCTAGGTCTAAAGAAGAACTTTACTTGATAAGCCTGCCACAACATAATCTAACAGAAAGAGAGCCAGACACGGAACCGAATAAGTAAGAGAGATTGATGGAATCAAATTACCAGCATCATCTTGTGTAGTTCAGACATCTCTGGGACATCCCCTTTACACAACAAGATGACTGTCCCTGTGGTGTCCAGGCCTCTCCTCCCTGCTCTCCCCGCCATCTGGATGTACTCACCAGGTAGAAGATTCCGGAAATTTGTGCCGTCATGCTTACGTATGGAGTCAAACACCACAGTCCTAGCTGGCATGTTTACACCCATGGCAAAAGTTTCTGTGGCAAACAGGATCTAAAATAGTGAAACAATGGCTGAGATCAGAAAAAATATACATATTTTTAAAGTGTTGGTTTGAGCCAAAATCACATTAGTTTAAACAAGGGATTCTCACTGAAAAATAAACATAAAAACAAATTAAAAACTGGAAGTAGAAGTTACACTCTCGCTGAAAAATAAACATAAAAACAAATTAAAAACTGGAAGTAGAAGTTACACTATAATATTTATTGTATGAATAAATAATCAAAAAACTAATCATATATCCATGTAACTATATAATAAACAAAAAATCACACTGCATAATATTACTTAGGCTTATTTCAAACACTAGGGAAAGTAAAGGCAGTTGGGCATATTGTTAACCACATTATCCCTTCATATGCCAAGGTCACTAAAACTGGTGAAATCTACTTCACCTGCCACATAGACCTTCAGGTTCAAAAGGGTACTTTACTTATCTTATTTGAAATAATAATAGACCAAATTCAAATGATGATTAATTAAAGCATGAAGATGTAAGCCATATTTACCTTGACCAAACCTTTCTGAAACAACATCTCAACCATTTCTTTTAGAATGGGCAACACCCCACTGTGATGGATACCCAATCCCCTTTTCAATAGATCTTCAAGTTGATGTACCTAAATGACACAGAACGAAATATTTTTAAAATACATGGTTAAAACTCCTGTATAAAATCTGTTTTATCATCCTTTAATGGTTAAGCAACATGAACAGCAGATAAGATGTAATCAAGAAATGTTTTTACTAGACCTAATCCTCACCCTCAAAATCCTTACATTCTAACCCCTTACCATGTTTACATTCTAACCCAAACAGCAAATTTTCACATTTGTATGATCAGATCACAGTTAAAAAAATATTAGACTGGATTTTAAATTCTCTATAACTAGTTTGCAGATTCAATACAGATCAATTTAAAAAATTAGCTTTATCATTTCAACACTCACTCAAACAAGTTATATTTTAAAAAATAATTCATGTAAAAATGACTTGGCCACACCTGAGGCAAATCTTTATCTGCTCCCTTAAGCTTGTTGATGCACCTGTGGAAGAAAACATGGACCTCGCTCTTCTCTGTGGCTGTGGTCAGGTCGATGGTCTGGAGGTTGGCTGTGGTCTCTTCAATCTTTTTCTTGGAAAATGTGAAAGCCACTGCTGGAAGCTTGTCTTTCTTCTTCAGCATTTCTATCACAGAGAGCCAGATGTTTTTGTCCTGATAATATAAAAATATAACTGGTCATGTTTGATCACGGAAAAGACAATTTATTTATTTATTCAAAAGAAATTAAATTCAATACAAACAGTAATAGTATAAAAAAAAATACTAATTTTTAAGGACATTTAATGCATTTTTTTTCAAAGTACATAGAGTAAATTTGTGTTCATTTTTAAAAATATTATTGCAGCCATCTAGGTCATTTTTCAAAAGGACACTCAAGTCAACTCAGTTATTCATTTAAAAAAAAAAAAACATCCACTGGACAAAACGGAGTGGTCACCTGGCCTGGTGCTCCTCCCCGTGACCCTTTAGCCCCAAAACTCTGAGAACTTTTGCTGGCCCTTTCTTTCTTGGCTTCCATTGCTTTGTTGTACCTTGGGGGAAAAAACAAGGAATTTAAACAAAATATCAGTGATCAGATTTGAAAAATAAATGCACAAAGCTATTTGTTCTGAAACCATAAGTCTTAAATTTTATTTGAATGCCATTAGACAACTGCTGAGCTGGTTTAACTTTGGGAATACTGAATCAACCCCCACCCCCCCCCCCTTCTACCTCAATTCTAGATCTTTCATTTTCATCTTTTCTTGAAGCTTCCCCACCTCCAACCTCTTTCTACTGACTCTAGACTACTGTCTCTTACTCTAGTTAAACTAAACCTAAAGGAAATATATAAACAATAAATAAATCAGTTTTATTAAAAAGCTGTTAATAATGTCACAGAAATATTTTTTAATAAAAAACCTACCCTGGGGTTAGAAAATTTCCTTTAGCATCAACCAGCAAGAACAGCTCATTCGATGTCTTGATGCTGTTACCTGTGTACAGGTAATGTTCCAATGGCACTGGACGGTATAAGGTACTGACCACATAGATTTTCTTTTTTTTTATCCGACTGCAAATCCAAAGAGAATAGAATAACTACTACCAAAAGGTTTTTGTTAATATAAACCACAAAAATAAACATTTAAGTAAGAAACTCTACTCTGTCATATACCATGTAGTTCCAGTGTCTGTTTAGAGATTGGTGGGACATTTTTAGATCAACGGAGTCCTTTTCTGTTTTATATTTTTAATTTTTCTGTTGGGAGATACTTCCCTTGAACTTTGTTCACTTAGCTGTCCTCAACTGCCCATATCAGTCAAAGCAAGGACATTTATAGACAGCCATCCTACTGTATTCCACACATACTGTACACATTAAATATTAACACTACAGAAGAAGGTAATTTTGTTTATTACCAACTGACTATAACTCAAGCTGGTAATCAGATATATTTAAACATGAAGCCAAAAAATCTATTAAATATTTTCAATTAATCCTTAACTTAATTATGATTTGGTATTATTAACTGAGCTATAATTACAGCATTGAGAACACACCCTATCCAGTCAGCAAACTCCATATGGTTGGGTACAGTTGCACTAAGTAGAATAACATTGACGTGATCAGGGAGCATAATCAGCACCTCCTCCCACACCACCCCCCTCTCTGAATCGTTGATGTAGTGGACTTCATCAAAGATGACCCATTCCAAGTCGCGGATGATGTCTGAACCATTGTACAACATAGACCTGTGGTGTAAAATATAACTGTCAGAACCATTGTACAACTTAGACCTGTGGTGTAAAATATAACTGTCAGAACCATTGTACAACATAGACCTGTGGTATAAAATATAACTGTCAGAACCATTGTACAACTTAGACCTGTGGTGTAAAATATAACTGTCAGAACCATTGTACAACATAGACCTGTGGTATAAAATATAACTGTCAGAACCATTGTACAACATAGACCTGTGGTATAAAATATAAATTATAACTGTCAGAACCATTGTACAACATAGACCTGTGGTGAAAATATAACTGTCAGAACCATTGTACAACATAGACCTGTGGTGAAAATATAACTGTCAGAACCATTGTACAACATAGACCTGTGGTGAAAAATATAACTGTCAGAACCATTGTACAACATAGACCTGTGGTGTAAAATATAACTGTCAGAACCATTGTACAACATAGACCTGTGGTATAAAATATAACTGTCAGAACCATTGTACAACATGAACCTGTGGTGTAAAATATAACTGTCAGAACCATTGTACAACATAGACCTGTGGTGTAAAATATAACTGTCAGAACCATTGTACAACATAGACCTGTGGTGTAAAATATAACTGTCAGAACCATTGTACAACATAGACCTGTGGTGTAAAATATAAAATATAACTGTCAGAACCATTGTACAACATAGACCTGTGGTATAAAATATAACTGTCAGAACCATTGTACAACATAGACCTGTGGTGTAAAATATAACTGTCAGAACCATTGTACAACATAGACCTGTGGTATAAAATATAACTGTAAGAGCCATTGTACAACATAGACCTGTGGTATAAAATATAAATTATAACTGTAAGAGCCATTGTACAACATAGACCTGTGGTGTAAAATATAACTGTAAGAGCCATTGTACAACATAGACCTGTGGTATAAAATATAAATTATAACTGTAAGAGCCATTGTACAACATAGACCTGTGGTGTAAAATATAACTGTAAGAACCATTGTACAACATAGACCTGTGGTATAAAATATAAAATATAACTGTCAGAACCATTGTACAACATAGACCTGTGGTGTAAAATATAAAATATAACTGTCAGAACCATTGTACAACATAGACCTGTGGTATAAAATATAACTGTAAGAACCATTGTACAACATAGACCTGTGGTGTAAAATATAACTGTCAGAACCATTGTACAACATAGACCTGTGGTAGAAAATATAACTGTCAGAACCATTGTACAACATAGACCTGTGGTATAAAATATAACTGTCAGAACCATTGTACAACTTAGACCTGTGGTGTAAAATATAACTGTCAGAACCATTGTACAACATAGACCTGTGGTGTAAAATATAACTGTCAGAACCATTGTACAACATAGACCTGTGGTATAAAATATAACTGTCAGAACCATTGTACAACATGAACCTGTGGTGTAAAATATAACTGTCAGAACCATTGTACAACATAGACCTGTGGTGTAAAATATAACTGTCAGAACCATTGTACAACATAGACCTGTGGTGTAAAATATAACTGTCAGAACCATTGTACAACATAGACCTGTGGTATAAAATATAACTGTCAGAACCATTGTACAACATAGACCTGTGGTGTAAAATATAACTGTCAGAACCATTGTACAACATAGACCTGTGGTGTAAAATATAACTGTCAGAACCATTGTACAACATAGACCTGTGGTATAAAATATAACTGTCAGAACCATTGTACAACATAGACCTGGGGTGAAAAATATAACTGTCAGAACCATTGTACAACATAGACCTGTGGTGTGAAATATAACTGTCAGAACCATTGTACAACATAGACCTGTGGTATAAAATATAACTGTCAGAACCATTGTACAACATAGACCTGTGGTATAAAATATAACTGTGAGAACCATTGTACAACATAGACCTGTGGTGTAAAATATAACTGTCAGAACCATTGTACAACATAGACCTGTGGTATATAATATAACTGTCAGAACCATTGTACAACATAGACCTGTGGTGTGAAATATAACTGTCAGAACCATTGTACAACATAGACCTGTGGTGTAAAATATAACTGTCAGAACCATTGTACAACATAGACCTGTGGTGTAAAATATAATGTCAGAACCATTGTACAACATAAACCTGTGGTATAAAATATAACTGTCAGAACCACTGTACAACATAGACCTGTGGTGTAAAATATAACTGTCAGAACCATTGTACAACATAGACCTGTGGTGTAAAATATAACTGTCAGAACCATTGTACAACATAGACCTGTGGTATAAAAGATAACTGTGAGAACCATTGTACAACATAGACCTGTGGTGTGAAATATAACTGTCAGAACCATTGTACAACATAGACCTGTGGTATAAAATATAACTGTCAGAACCATTGTACAACATAGACCTGTGGTATAAAATATAAATGTCAGAGCAATTGACATGTTATTCATATTTTTTTAATTGTGCATCTTTCCCAAAATGTTATCTTGTATTCGTATACTAATTAACACATACAAAATGTAAATGATGATAAACTGTATTTTTTAAAATGTATACAGTAATTTGTATTGGTTAAAAAAATGCTATTGCTTACAAATTGTTAATTTTTTAATGCCCATTTTTTAGTATAGTGACATTAACAGAAAATAGGAAATGTGTTAAAATTATGTACCTTACTAATAAAATAAGGGAATAAAATCTCAAAATTTTATCATGAAAACCCAGCTTTTATTGGCCAACATACCAAAACTTTAATGAGCTAATGGTATGAGTTCAGTACAGAAATAGAATATAACCGGCTCAATTCTGTAGGTCATCCATGAGCCCACCCATCTCTGTTGGGTACCTGACTTATGCTAGGGAAACTAAGATGGAGCACAGTGCTGACCACAATATCCCCTCAAATGCCAAGGTAATTCAAACAGATCAACTCTTCTTCATATGCCCCATGTATCTTGGGCACATATGGGAAAATATGATGATGAATACAATGTAAGACAATGAATGAAAATAACCTGAGGATCTCAGTGGTCATAATGAGACAAGATAGGGAAATATGATGATGAATACAATGTAAGACAATGAATGAAATTAACCTGAGGATCTCAGTGGTCATAATGAGACAAGATGAGAAAATATGATGATGAATACAATGTAAGACAATGTATGAAAATAACCTGAGGATCTCAGTGGTCATAATGAGACAAGATGAGAAAATATGATGATGAATACAATGTAAAACAGTGTATGAAATTAACCTGAGAATCTCAGTGGTCATAATGAGACAAGATGAGAAAATATGATGATGAATACAATGTAAAACAGTGTATGAAATTAACCTGAGAATCTCAGTGGTCATAATGAGACAAGATGAGAAAATATGATGATGAATACAATGTAAAACAGTGTATGAAATTAACCTGAGAATCTCAGTGGTCATAATGAGACAAGATGCTGTCTGGTTGAGCTGGACATCACCTGTCACCAGGCCTACGTCCTGAAATGTTGTCTTGAAGTCTCGGAATTTCTGATTGGACAATGCTTTTATCGGAGATGTGTAGACTGTCCTAAAAAATTCAAGAAAAACTACATTGCTACTACAGTGTTAATCATCATTTTTTTTTAACTTGATTAATACTTTTACAAGTTTAAGCATTCCCATTTATAATAAATATAAAAACCTTGTCATGTGTTTCATAGAAAGAGCTATGGCATATTCTGCGACCACAGTTTTGCCTGCTGAAGTGTGTGCAGCCACAAAAACACTTTCATGGTTTTCTAGCCTCAAGATGGCTTGCTTCTGGAAGATATCCAACTCAAAAGGAAACTGAAATATTTTAGTCCAACAGGGTAATTTTTTTTATGTACACAGCAAATGATGTAAATAAAATTATTGTTGATCACAGATTTTGTAATAGACACTTGAACATTTTGTAGATTAGTGGTCAATTTTTGTGATATCATCCTTGACCTGTATAAAGCTATCTGTTGTTTTTTTTTTAATTAATTAAGACATGTCAATATATTTTTATTTATTTGGTTTTGGCAACAGCTAATAGAGAAAAAGCTGTCAAATATTTAATTTATAATTTTGGCAATTCTAAAATTGAAAAAAATATAATTAAAACAACTCACATTATAAAAATGCACACAAGAATTCTCAAAAATTTTAAATAACTACTTTGTATTGTTCTAACCTCATAAGCCATTACTGGAATTTTCTTTTTGAAGTCATGTACTGGAGCTGATATATCCACTTGTATAGCCCATTGCTCTTTTGCTACTTTTTTAACTGTAGTTGTCTCCTCTTTCTGTATTGAATCACTAGGCTGAAAATTGTCACATTCACAAATTATTCATGTAAACAGTTGGACATCAAAATTCTTACATGAAATTAATTTTAAAATAAAACAATTGTTTAAAAATTAATTGTAAGAAAATTTTTTTGCAGATTTCAATATGTTAACCAACCTGAACCAAATTTTCAAAACTTTCACTTCTAGTCAATTCTATGTTTGAAGTCTGAAAAACGAAAATACATAGCTTATAAAATAATAATTTTTTTAAAAGTAAGTAATGTCAAATTAATATTTAACACCCAATAACTAATTTTATTTGCACTTGCCTCAGGCTTTCCTTGGTCAATCTTTGCTTCCCCTTTTTTACTTTCACTTTCATCGTCACTGTCACCTAGATCAATATCATCAGATCCAGACATGATATCAGCCAAACTAATGATACTTGGATCAGATGGTACAGCGGCACCTTGTGCTTTGGCTGCTGTTGGTTTCACAGCAGGCTGACTGTCAAACTTCATGCCACAGCTGAACCCAGGTGGAGTAGATAAAAACTGGGATTCTGTACAAATATTTTATAACATTAGTTTATTGTGACTTCATTTATGAGTTGTGTATTTCATATTTGACTAAGAATTATACCTAAAGTAAAAACATTCTACAAATTAATTAAGGAGTTATCTATTTATAAATTAGTTTTGTTAATAAAATAATGATGTGAATCAGAATTAAATTTATTAAATTTAAAAATATTTTATAACATTAGTTTATTGTGACTTCATCTATGAGTCATATACTTCATTAAAAAAATTGACTAAAAATTATACCTAAGGTAACAACATTCTGCAAATTAATTAAGGAGTTATCTATTTATAAATCAGTTTTGTTAATAAAATAAGGATGTGAATCAGAATTAAAATTATTAAATTTACAAATATTTTAAGTTTGAAACCCACCATCGTCAAAATTGATAGAACTGGCAATATTTTCAGAGTTACCCAATTTGTTAAACACCTCGTCTGCATCAAGGCCCCCTAGTTAAATTAAAATTTGGAAGTTGTTTTTACACAGAAAATAAATCATACAAAAAACAAAGTTTTATATCACCAATTGTACTCAATGTTTACAAATTACAACCATCTTTGAGAAACCACGACATACCTGGCCAGAATGGCAAGTTAATGTTTGAGCCTCTGACATCTTGTTTGACCTTTGCACTATTTAAGTCAGGGGCTCGCCGTAATGAAAGCGAATTTCTAGAAGTTTCACTACTGTCAGGAATTAACTCCTGAAATTAAAAACAAGTGGATAAATCATTTATACAGTGATACTTCTAATAACAAGAAAAAATGCATTCAATTCATGCATTTTTTATTAAAGACTAGTGTCTGTCGTTTTTTTTTGTTTCCTGAAATTTGGCTATGGTGTACATCACACTTTGAAAACAAGCTGTGGAATTATAAAGAGAACTCAAAACTTTCTTTGCTTAGTTTTTTTTTTTTAAACAATATTTCTTGTGTGTTTTCATCTTTATTCATTAGCAATTACACATATAAAGGCCATGCTAAAATGTACCTAACCACATAGAAAGCTCATAATTTGATATACAAATTCTTCTCTTTCAACTAAATTTGTGCAAAACAAATGTCTTTGAAACAAGTTTTATTTTAGTTAAACTTGTCAACAACAAAACACTAAAAAAACTAAAAAATCCTGAGAATGTCCTGTAATAAATGTCCTACCTCAGTGAAACCTAAGGAATGTCCTGTAAAAATATCCTACCTCAGTGAAACCTAACAACTGCCCTGTTGTAGGGTCCCTCTCCACATGTATAGTTGTCTCAGGTGGACATGTCTCTAAATGCAGTAACCGTTCAGGCCGAGGACTCCTTGGTATCTGCCTGTGTGTAACCAAGGAAGATAAAGTACTTTTTTCAAACCTTGTGGTCCATACTGAACATAGAATTCATCTATGTCTTTTAATTTACTAATAGAATGTGGTCTGCATTATGCCTAGCTGTCCCTTTCTTTCCCTCAGTGGAACCTATGTGGACTCAAGGGGGACATCCTATGGTAGATAACTGAACTCATTTGGATTAGCAGCTTTACTGCGGTACATCAGATGAAAATGAGCTGTCGTAGAGCTGTCCCAGCTAAAAAAAACTTCAGTCAATAAGAGTGTTGATTTTTATATAATACATGACCCTGGTTTATACTGACAAAAATTGAGTTTTAGACAATCACAGGAAAGGGTTGAAACTACAAATGTCAGATAAAAATTCTATAATAAAAATATATGTGATCACTTGATCTAGCCGATGTGGGAGAGGAAGGGGGTGAAAAACAAGTAAAAAAGAACAATAAATGAATTCTTTTTAACATTTTAATACAGCTGGAAAGCCAATACCAGCTATCTGTAGAGGTGATGACATCTCATTGTTTTTAAATTCCAATTAATATGATCAAATGTGAATTCAAAATAATATACTGACCTTTGACATGTGGAGAAATGATGAATGGGCAGGCTTTCAAGGTCTGTGACATATTTCTCAACCTCCTTCCTGATAGATGTCAGAACTGGTGGAATGCCAACAGGCAGCTGAAATTTTAATTCAATTTTTAACAATAACATAAGCAAACTCTTGACAAAAAAATAATAAAGCACTACCACAGAAAAATGTAGGTTAGTACAATTGTTGAAAATGATAACCAATAATGTGAAAAGAATTAGTTATTGTAATACTTGAACTAATGGTGAATGTTAAATAAAAAATAAAATCCTCATAAAATAATGACAGTAAAAAGGTGTAATTTGATGGTAAATTTTAACATTCAATTACCTAAAGGAGAATTTTTGGGTGAACAATGACAGCCAAAAGTAGACCTTATATTTACCACAATAAGTTTCTAGATTACTATGGACCTTACTTTTAGTTAACTGCAGTCCTAATTTAACCTATACTTACAGTCAGTTGTGGAAATCGACAGCGATCTGACTCAACCTGTGGTACTGCCTCAAGGTGACCAAACCAGCCAGTTTCCAAAAGATCAAGGCCCACCAGTGTTGACCCATCACCAGAAGAAGCCATCCCCTGTTATTTAGTTGTTGTTTTTAAAGAAGTATTTAAATCCTCTTCTTGGTATTAAGAATTAGCAATTAGCAATACATACAATACATTGGTATATGTGATGACGCTTGTTTAGGTCGGATAGGTCAAGTAGAAAAAGTAAATAAGAACAGGCTATAGCTAGTTGGTTAGAGAAACAAATGAAAATACAGGAGCTGAACAGTCACGTGGGACGGTCAGCTGACCACTGAAGCTTGGGTCTGCAGCTAGGCCAGGCAGTTGATAGATAGTTAACGAAAAGAATGGCCAGAGTAGGGTAGAGAATTAAAGGTAGATAGTGTGGTTGAGATGGTAGGAGATATGTAGAGCTAGGGAACAGTTAGATAGAAGTAGTAGTAGTACAGTATAGATTAGTTAGGTAGGAAGTTGATTGTGTAAATTTTAATAAAGAACATTATATTTGGACTTGTGTGTGTTGGATCTTTTTATCATCTTCATCACCCCCAGTCTCACAACTAGTGGTACTGCATTTCCCCACCCTCAAAACTGGCGGTAGATCTCCATTCACCCCCCCCCCCCACCCTTACAGTAAGGAAACAGCTGATTAATATTTATAATACACAAAGGCCTGCCAGCACAACGAATGGTAGTAAACAGGTTAGACTCTCAATGGGGAAATTCAAAATATCATCAATATTTTTAAAATTATGTGCTTTAAAAACATGTCGTCGTTAAAACTAGATTCTATGTGTTGTTTTTACAAGCTCTTTTTTGACTTGATTCCTTTTTATTTGCAGCGTCCATCATGGATCAAAACTTACATGCTAAATATCAACCACTTCTACCAAACCAATTTGTTTCAAACTTGACATGTAGGTCAAGATAAGACAATAATGCAAAGTGACTGAAAATTTGACATAATTAGATGCTTAATTTATCTTTCAAAGAATAATTAGAATTAATTTGAGATTGTTGTACAAAGCACTCATACTCATTGTATCGCTATATAGAGCAAATTACACTGTCCGGACACACACCGCGAAAAAACGCAACTTAAAACTTCCATGCGGTCTCATTCAGTAACCGCTTAACATAGGAAGGAAAAAAAAGTATCATATCTATCCGCAATCATTCTACTTTAATAATGTGTGTGTCATTTTGTATTCATACGCATAGAACTTTAGCTATTCTTGTTATAGTGACTGGGGGGTCTTAACATGTGTTCGGACACATGTAATACAATTTCAAATGTGTTCGGACACCTTTACCCGTCATCGGACAAAGCACTTTTTGTTCATTTAGAATAATTTAAAGTCAATTTAATGAATAAAAACATATATTATATGCATTTATATTGTGTTATTGATTGTTTGTGAGGTAATTTTAATAGTATAAAACCTTTTTCCCACACTCCCAAAGTTCATCCCATTCAGCCATTGCGGCTCGCGCAGTACGCTGCTAAGCCAGCCAGGTCACATGATTCCCCCTCCTCTTTCGCATTCCACTGCCTTCTTGACCTTATTTTGACCCTTTCCCTTCAATAACCAGCCCCTTTTATGCTCTAAATTCTTATTTAATATTTTTGTGTTGCTGTCCGGTCCCATGTAAGGTCAAAAAAGTTAGCGAACACCCCTTTTTTGTTGTTCAAGCACAAAATAACCCATTAACCTTGACATTTACGATGTTCCATACATATATAGAAGCTATTTATAGTGTAACCTTTTAGCTAAGCGTTGATTGGTTCAAGTTTTGCCCCTAAGTCCAACCCTAGGTCACTTCATCCGGCTGGTGTAAAAATAGAAATGTGCGTACCATGCAACGTTAAAAATTTTCTAAAAATAATTCTTGAGAGAGGAAACGGAAGTACTTGACACGGAAGTGTTCATAAATGAACAGTTTACGTGCAGGCGCCGTGGTTTCGCATGAGACATGCTAATTAAAGTTTCTATGAGCCAAAAACCGACGAAGTGTTCGGTCCCACGTAGTGTTCGGACAATGTAATTTGCTCTAAATGTTACACACAATTCGGTACGTTTGTTTGGTTGGTGCACAAGTCTTTTTTACTAGTTTGTTTTGGCAGCTTGGGTTCCATTCCTTTTGGGCCAAAGGTTTTGACTCTGAGTTTTTATTTTACTTTTTTCTATTTACTTTGGTTTAGAGTTTAGGGTTAAGTTTAGGGTTAGGCATTTTAGGGTTATGACAAAGTAAGTAGGCCTAGATCTATATAATATTAGATTCTAGCTTGAATTATGGTATTTTTAAATTAAATAATAATAAATTAAATATCCTGTTATTTCAAATAAATACACCATTATTCAAATTATTCATTATTCCATTAAGTTCCTAACCCATTAAGAATGCTTAAGATTGATGTTAGTTAATAGTTAAGTTAGTAATAGTGTCTGTTAGACTTGTTAGACTGACTTACAGACTTAGTATTACTTAATTACTTAGGCCTAGGCCTATACTTTATAATTTTATTAATATAATTTATAAAGAACCTATCAAATTGATAGTATCAATTAATGGTGAACAAACAAGTAACAATTATTTTATTTTTTAGTAATTTTTTACAGTCCTAGATCTAGCTAGATTCTACCTGAAGAACGAATTTCACACTCAACTTCAACTCAAACTGCTACCTTTACGGCTTTTAGCCTAGGTTTTTAATTTGAGTTTGTCACAATGATAACGTGAATGGTTCTAGATCTAGACTTATATCTGAATATATCTAGATCTAGATTATATTTCTCGATTTAAAATTTTAGATCTACTGGCACGACTGTACAGTACACAGGTTTTACTTTCGGTTTCACTTCTTAATCCTGGGACATGTCACGAATCTTTGGCCGAACATAGATCTAGATCTAGACTAGTAACAAAATATTCTTAACTTATTAGAATCTTTATATTTGTATTGAAAGACTTTGTAAAAATAATTCTGAACATAAATTATATATATATATTTTAAGCTTTATTGACTTTTACGGCGTTTGCTTGTAAGCCTAGAATCTAGATCTAGATAATACTAGAGATTGTAAATTATCAGTCTCTCGAGTCTAGAGAATAACATTACTCCATCTTTTTCATCAACCTAGTCTGGCCATTGCTCGCTGGATTGCCACATTGACAAATTTTAAAATAGTAAAAATTACTAAGTAGACAAAACAGATTAATTAGGCTTGATCTACTAGGCAACCATAATCCATAGAATATATGTTTGAACAATATATATATATATATTATAGGCCTATATATTATATACATATATTAAATATATTTATTATAAGTGGGTGCGTAATTAAAAAATTAAAATTAACTACAGTATATATCAACATTGTCTAGTGCTATCATTTCAATGTAGCAATTGAGCCAAATGCTCATCAAACATTAGAACTCCCTAAGCTATGTTCAGCTCTATGCAGCATGAGAAAAGAACCTGATGATGGTTTATTAATCAGATAGAGCTCATCAATTTACCTCAGTATGTAAAGGGATTGTGTGGTCAGCCTACTGCCCAGCTATCTTAACTCAAGCCAGGTATTCTCAGAGCTGATTAAATAGAGGTAGTCTGAACTCAAGATTTTTGGATCATAAACTACATGACCTTGCTGTCACACACCCAATATTTCTTAAACTTAAATTACTACATTAAAATAAAGAACAATAACTTTGAGATTTAAAGCATCTTCAACAATATTCATATTTATTCAAATAAACATTACAATAACGAAAACAAATGTAGAGTTTTAAACAAAATAAAAAGACATGTTATTCATAGCCAGAAAAGCTTTTCAATAATGAGAATAATAAATTAAGTGAGACCTGATTTAAGTAACAAATGCTGTCTTGGAAGAAATTTTAAATGTAAGTTTAATGCCCACAGAAACCAAAGTTTTATTCTCAAGCTTTGTCAAATGCTGTTTCATGAAAAAAAAATATTATTTATACACTTGACTTTGTGAGATTTTTTGAGTGCTTTAGTTTGTGGCATTTTAATGAAGGGCCTGAGGAGGCACAAAAGCCACACTCCTCACATATGAATGCAGAATTTTTTAGATGCCGCTGACGATGCCGATTAAGATTCCAAGACTTCTTGCAAGAGTAGTTGCATGACTCACACTTGAATATTTTTTCATCACTATTGTCCATGCTGTTTGAATCCGTGGATCCATCTGTCTCGTTACTACCCGATTTAATAGACTTTCTAAAATATATCTTTTCTGTTGTGTGAATCTGCATATGCTGCCTTAAACGTGAGGCTATAGCACATGAAAACTGACATATTGCGCATATAAAAGGAAGGTCCCCAGAGTGTCGGAGCTTGTGTTGTTTAAGACTATAAGAGTTCAGACAAGAAAATGTGCATTCATCACATTTGTAAGGTCTGTCTGTAGAATGTTTAAGTCTGTGCTGTTTGAGATTCCATAGTTTTTTACAAGAGTAACCACAAATGTCACATTTGTAAGGTTTGTCGGAATGAATGCCATCTGTTGGCATCCATTCTGGAAACACTTTCGGACGGCCCCGTTTTTTGTTTTTTTCATGAATTCGCATATGCTGTTGTAGTCTGGAAGCCTTTCCACAAGAAAAACTGCACAAAGCACAAATGAATGGCAGCTCCCCTTTGTGCCAGAGTTTATGCTGCTTCAAACTGTACGAAGTATTGCATGAAAAACTACACTCATCGCAGTGATGAGGCTTCTCACCCGTATGTTTCATAATATGTTGCCTGAGGTTTGTTCTTTTTCTACATGAATAGTCACATACATGACACTTAAATGGTTTATCATCACTGTGTATCATCATATGCATCTTTAAATTCTGCCTGTTTGAAAATTGAGCCTGGCATATGGGACAAGAAAGAGGATTATCACCATGGGTCAGTAACAAGTGTTCCTTTAATTGATCCCTTTTTCCACATGAATAATCACACAAATCACACTTAAATGGTGACTCTCCAGTGTGGGTGTACATGTGTTGTGTCATGTCACCTGACCGACTGCTTGAAAATTCACACAGCCCACAGTTGAAAGTTTTTTCCTTGCGGTGCACCTTCAAATGTTGTGTCAGATCGTGGGGAAACTCACACTGAAAATCACAAAACTTACAAGTGTATGGCTTCTCTTCAGAATGAACTATTGTGTGTTGTTCTAGGTTATATGAGTCACATAATTCTAGTTCACATTCCTCAAAATCTGTCTCTTGTTTGACTATGTGTTCTAGCTCATGCTTTTTTAAATCTGATTTGGTCCAAAAAATAAGCAAACAGGTCTTGCACTGATGATGTGGTAATTTGGCCAAGGTATGACTGGTAACATGTTTTTGTAGTTCATCAAAGTCAGTACATGAAAAATCACAGAGGTCGCAGGTTAACTTAGGGCTTATGTCATGTTCACAAAATTCATGCTTGCTTAGCGTGTCATTATCAACAGTCTTAAAACCACACACTTCACAAGTAAATTTACTCTGGTCACTAGGGACATGAAATTTTTCAGACAAATTCTCAACAGAAAAGCTCTTTATATCATCAGTCTCCATGAGTGTTTTCATATTTCCATTAGTATTTATTGTATCTTCAGTTTTCTTGTCAGAAGAGTGTAAGTTATTAAGAGAAGAAATACCTTTACTGCAGTTTGCAATATTTCTTTTATCTTTTTTGTTACACTTATTTTTTTTAGAAGACTTCTGTTTAACTGTCACATGTAATTTAGAATTCAAATTTTTCTTAAGAATGTAGTTATGTTGCTCTTCAACCTCTGAGTCGCACTGACTAGTGCAATTGTCAGTGGGGCAAGGATCATTACAGATGCTATTCGATTGTTCATCTGAATTTGTGGATTCAAACTCCATTGATTTGAGAGTTTTTGGTGTTTTACTGCAAACTGCGTGGTTTTATTTCTTATTTTGGTTTCCACATTTCTGAAAATAATTCCAAATGTTAAAATTAAATTACATCAAAACAAAAGATTAATATAGGACATAGGACAAATAGCCTATTAAAAATATTAGGCCTAGGCTAGGCCTATTGACTCCATTGACTGTCATTCACTGAGGCTACATCATAAAAATTTAAAACGTAGCCTGTCATTTGATGTTATTGAAAAGTCGTAGTCTTAGTTATTGTTTAAAATTTTAATTGTAGGCCTACTTAAATATATAAAACAAAACAAAAAATAATAACGCGAACAATAAAAAAAAAAGCCAAATTCCAAATGACTCAAAACTCAAAAGTGAAAAATGAAAGAGATAACGTCCAAACAAATTGAAAATGATTAACAAAGGAACTTTGGACTGTGATTAATTCAGTAATAAATATTCCGAATGAGAATATCTCATGACCATACCTTCAATTATACAAGCCATAATCTTTTAAACAAAGACATATAATTTTCTTGTCGCAGTTTAAGAGCTAATCGTTATTCATTTCAACTTTTTACTTTTAATCATAATGAAGCCCACAAACCGGAAAAAGAGGTTGAAGAAAAATATTTTGGAGTAGCTTCCCTTAAAATTGACCTTTTAAAAACATCTTTAACTTTTTTGTACCAAGAAACTTAGGTCCAGAAAATGATCTACTATGACTAGAAATGTAATTACAAAGCGCCACTTGGAATGGTCTCCCATTATTTTAAACGAAATATTCACAAAGGAAAATAAATCAATTATTTAGTATAAAAGAAATATAAGCATACATAAAAATTATACACAGGAATAAATAAAGCTAGATCATTTTTTTAGAAGTTCAAATACTCATGTAAAGTAAAGGGCATTTCTGATAAGCTTATTAGTAATGTTTATGGCATTTTCACACATGATTGGTTTGATCTTCATATTCCGAAATGTTTATTATTGGCATTGCTATGGTTGGACATCAGAGCATAGCATGCTATTGATTAATGGAATCGAAACAAGATTTGCAGTCGAGGATTTCCTGAATCACCCTGTTCTAAAGCCTTCTTTTTTACCAACATGATGAAGTTGTTGGACAGAGGAAGGGGGATGTGTATAGGAAAATCATTATTTCATTGCTTATCTATAGAGGAAATCCACTAATTTTGTTTCATTTGATGTTTCAGCTTCCAATTGAATCTGGAAGGGGTAGGATCTGGCTAGTCGTTGTAGCTTGGTCCCAGCTTGTAGCATCATTTGTTGCCTTATTGGCGCATATAAGTGAGGATTGTTGTCCGAGATTGAATTGTGGCATCTTGATCCCCTGCCCTTAATGGATTAAGAAAATTGCTAGAACAGGCTATATCTATAACCCGTTGATAGCTTAAATGACATCACCTGAAAACCCTGCAGGGTAATCGTCCAGCGACCTCTTTTAAATGAGATCACCCGATGAAAGAGAAGGCTTTGTCGTATGGTACAGCATTAGAGTGCTAAATCAAAAGTTTCAAGTATGGATTCCAGGCTCTTGAATCCATTGAAACATGTGAACTCTATTTCAAGTGCTCCATGGACTATCAAGTTCAAAAGGGTACTTTACTTTTTTTTTGTAACGAAGCAAGCCAGCACAGTGACTCCTTTGCCGAATTATGGTTACATCACTAATACCCACATTCACTCAAGTAAATCACTAAATAAAAATGTATAACTCTTCACATTTTAAGAATGTTTTTACGGTTTATATTCTTATTATTTATTACTTTAATTTGATATATCCAGCTGGGTTTCTAATGACCATCAAAGCAATTTGCATAACCTGCCTGCTCACAGCAGCAAACTAAAGCCTTACCGTAGTAATCATCAAACATGTGGTCAGAGTGTGCTTCTTTATAACAAGTGGGTGAATTGGTGCCAAATGAGGTGTCAGCGGCCTAGAATTCCTAAGCAGTGAGTGAATACCTACAGACAGCTGGTTATACATCTCTGTCGCATTTGGGTGTTGTGAGAAAGGGTTGCACAAGACCTAACAAAGAAGGTCACACGTCTGTGGCTTGGGTCACATATGTACATGTATATATATGTATACATGTGTATATATGTGTATATACATATTCCATAATATTAAATTAAAATTGTTGTTTATGTGACATTAATAATGTTTGAAATTGAGCCATGAAGCAACACAAGTTCATTGCTGCTAATAGCTGTAACTAGACAAGACAATTTTCATTTTGGGGGCTCTAACACGCCCTGCCTATGCCACTGACCAGCAAGCAAAAAGAAATACAAAATGTTTATCTGCAACAGGCAGTACTAATTTAATTTTGGCAGCGCTGCCCTATTTAGTATTTTATAAAATAGTTCTGCTGAAGAAAAAAACCATGCCAAATAATTTCAGACAAAAGTGTATTATCTGGAATAAATGTAAATGTTACTTTATTATAAGGGTATGCAAAAAAATGTTCAACAAAATAAATTCATTATCACAAATTGTATATTTTCAATTTGAAAATAACATTCAAAATTTATAGTATAGTCTTCTTAGAAGCAAATATCATTTTTAATTTATTATGGGTGTCCCATAATTAATTTTAAAATGTTGACACAAAGCATTATTACAAGACACTCTAAAACAGCTTTTCAATACAATCAGGTGTGGTAAAAACTAGTGACCTTTTATTTTGACACTTGAGCATGTTAATACTTGACATGATGAGAGATTGCATGATGAAAGCTGACAGAATGAAAACTGACAGAATGAAAGCTGACAGAATAAAAGTTGACAGAATAAAAGTTGACAGTATGAAAGCTGACAAAATAAAAGTTGACAGAAAAAAAGTTGACAGAAAAAAAGTTGACAGAATGAAAGCTGACAGGATGAAAGTTGACAGAATAAAAGTTGACAGAATAAAAGTTGACAGAATAAAAGTTGACAGAATGAGAGCTAACAGAATAAAAGCTGATAGAATGTAAGCTAATAGGATGAAGGCTGGCAAGTTGAGATATGACATGGTAAAAGATTGCATTACATTGAAAGATATCAATACATGTTAAAAAACTGGCATGATGAAATGTGACCTAATTCAATAGGCATCGTGATAACTTTTTGCTTGTCTAACTTAGCCTTCACCACCTGAAACATTTATCCAAAAAACAAATTCTGGATATTTTCTAAACCAATATAATTAAATAACCCTGATTAAATTTGTTTTAAAAAAAAAAACATCACAGTTTTGAAAGAGCGCTATAGTATTCGAGTGTAAATTGACAGATAGGGACACCTTCAAGATTCTCTATTGAACATCTCACTTGAAGCTCCTCCCCCTTTTCTTGCCATAAATGGACATCAATAAAATCCCCTTCTAAACACTCTTTAATGAAACAAATTTTAAGATGCTTGACACCATTATTCAGAATATCACTTGTGATGGACAGTGGAGATGGGTTCTGATGATGAGAGTCTACCATGACCCCACCTGCCTGTTTCTGGCTGGGGGTTCTGTGTCCTGGTTCTAAACTTGCAGGTGTTACAGCAGTTGATAAGTTTTGGCGGTGTGGAGTATTTAGTTTTTGAGCTTTGTGAACAGCTAACAGCAATGTGTCTTGGCCAAACCTGATGTAGCTGGAAAAAGTGGCGTGGTTGTTGCTGTCTGTATCTGACCAAACAATCTAAAAAAAAAAATTTATTATAGACAATTGTAGTCTCTTCTTTTTGTTCTTAATAAACAATTAAGTATACATGTCAACTGGTTATGTGCCATTGAGACCATTGACTCCTATTTCAGCCTGCTTTTCTTTTTGGATTAGCTTCCATAGCCTTTGTCCAACCAAGAACAAACTACAAGGCAGCAGTTGTTTGATTTTGGAGTTGTCTCTCCTAGAAGACTGGCTGTCCCCAGCTTACGAGCCTCATCTGCCCGAAGGTTCGAACTCGAGACTTTTGGGTTTACCAACCATGAGCTTTCACCAACTCGACCACGCCGACCCCAAATTACTACAATTGTAGTAATTATTTTAAATTTATTTTCATCGAAGTATTAAAAAAAACTAGCTACCTCAATACAGGGACATAAAATAGCATAACAAACCAACCTGAACTCTCCTCACAAATGTGCGTGCAGGTTTAGAAAACCCTTCCACTTTGAATTCACCCAGCTTCACCACCTCCCTGCCATGCATTTTCTTCTTATACCAATCAGGGAAGGCAACAGGCTTGCGGGTAATTCTATCTACTGATATCAGTTTATTAATCCTTGAGATGATTGGTTCTGAAGAATTTGGTAAAAATAGATCTACAATAAGCAATAGTGATGTGTTTCCTAGCCCACAAAATGATTCTTTTGCTACAAAAGACCACTTTGGGATGCTATTATTGTACCATGCTCTGGAGAAAGTGTACTCAGAGGCAGCGACAAATATAGTTCGGCCTTCCAGAGCCATGTCCAAGTCTAAAAAAGCATGCTTGTCTCCCTGTGAATACCTTTCTGGGTGGTTTTCAAGAAATATTTCAGCACTTTGTAGAAAGTCAACCGCTTTCATAAGTCCTATTTTTCCTACAAAATTAAAAGAAATCATTTATTATTTTAAAATAATTTTAAAATTATAGTTACATTTTTAAAATAATGTTAATTTGTACACTTCAAAATCATAACATAATTTCATATAATTATAATTTTAAAATTTTTTTTAAAAGTACTGTATTTTTTTTTAAAAGTCTATATATATTTTCTAAAACCTACCATCTTTGTCTATGTCAGTGTAGTGCAGTCCAGGAAAGATACTAGTTGCATAGAGTGGATTATTGTTTATACGGTAGTTCACTTCATTGTTTGCCAAGTAATGTTTCCACCACACGATCTTAAACCTAGAGGTGTCATGAAAAATAACATGAATGACATAATTTATTTATATCTGTCCCTTTACCTTTATCTCCCATCATCAATTTAAAATTTCACAAAACCAACTTAAAAATATCCATGTATATATATGACCAATAAAATGAGGTAAAGTTCCCCTTTCAGACTTAATGATCCATTATAGGGCAGATCAAGTGCAATTCATGTTTCTTGACCTCAGCATGGTGTGGTCAGCACTAAGCCCAGCAGACTTTACTTTCCCTAAGGTGAGTCATGTATAAATCAGAGCTAGGTTGACTCAGGGATGTCCTAAAGTCTTGAGTCTGGTGAGATATGAACTTGAGACTTTCTAACAAGCAGTCAAGAGCTCCATCCCTTAACCACATTGTCCCAAAATGACCATAAACATATTTTAAAATCATTTTCATTGTCTCTGTTATGAACATTATTGTAGTGTAATAATCTTACATTACAACTCATATATGATTGTATAGAAAATTATCAAGATCCTAGTCTAACTCGATCGTACATAATTAAATACATTAGGCCTAACTTTTTAAATTTTAAAAAATCTACCGTTTTAAGGCCATAAATTATTAAATTCATATTAAATTTGGCAAATTTCATTGAAAAGATGAAACTAAAAGTAAAATTGTTAAAATTTCAATAGAAAATACAAAGATCTTACTAAAACGCTAAGTCATAACTCATATATAAACTAGATCTAGATCTAAATCATAACTTACTTTCTATCACTTTCACGTAGCATACTAATAATTTCACTTTCATTACTTTGACTTTGCTCCATTTCTTGTTGTCGTTGTTGTTCCTAGTTATACTCACTGTTATAGGCTATAGGTTAGGCAAATCTTGCTCGCAAACACTGCTGTTTAAAGTTAATTTCTGGCTATTGATATATTTTATTTAGTTTAGTATTTAGCCATTGATTTTGGTTTATTCTTCAGTTATCTATAATATTTGACACAAATATATTACAATAGTGTGAACATATGCCTACTTCTAATAAACTTTAATAAAGCCTTAATAAAACTAACTCTACACTACTACTACTAGATCTAGATCTACACTAAACTACTAACTACACTGAGGGGTCATCCATAATTTAAATGATGTCACACTCGTAGGGGGGAGGGGGTGTCCGTAATTTTGTGATGATGTGTGATGAGGGGGAGGGGGGGGGGGGGGGTTCAGATGTTGCAACGTCACATTTTTGCATTATAAAAAAGCAATGTTAGAAAACGAATTTTAGACAAAATAATTTTTTTATTTTGCGTTTTAGATAACTGATTTAATAAATTGCAATAGTTTAGACCAAGATTTTAGAAAAATATCGATGTTTAAAAAAATTCAACTGCAATTTTGAGGGGGGGGGGTTGTAATTGTAGGTTGAGGTGTGACGTCATTTATTTTAGGTAGGGGGTCTGGCTTTTTGTGACGATGTGTGACGGAGGGGAGGGGGGGGAGGTAAAAATCGTCAAAAAAAGCGTGACGTCATGTATGGATGACCCCTGAGGCAACTTTTTCGCACATTACTAGTAAATACTACTTACTAGCCTTAGCCGGTTTTACTAGATTCTATATTTTATTTTTTACGCAACTAAAAATAAAATCCTAAATAAATAAATAAAAAACGATTAGAATATCTAGATCTAAATTATAAAATAGTCTAAATAATAAATAGATCTAGATCTAGGCCGGGCTCGGCCAAAAAATTACCCTCTAAAGTCTAAACCCAAGGAAAGTAGGCCTAATAACTTAATAAGTAATTAGGTAGTAATAAGTAATAAGAAAGTAAATGTTTTGTTTGGCCTAATCATGTGAAACTTTTCAACAACAATGTTTTAATCTAACTCGCCACACCAGAGAGCTCTTTTCCTTCCTAGATCTAGTCTAGATCTAGGTCTATCAAATAGTATCAGTATCAAATAGAATCATCTTAAAATGTAGGAGCCTAGGCATACAAGACGATTAGATGAGAAAGGGGAGCTTAAATAAATAGGGCGGGGGAGTGCTCAGAGAAACATAGATTCTAGACCTATACATTCGAATTCAGTTACAACAATAACGGAGCCGGGTAATGGATTGAAAGTGCCCCCCCCCCCGGACGAAAAAAGTCTGGAAGAAACACTGCCATCAATTACCCCCCCCCCCTCGTAATTACTCTGACGTTCAGGGCAGTCGCCTAGGGCGCTGGCCGTAGGGGGGCGCCAAAATGGGTTGGAAAAACAAATTGAAAATTTGAGGGGGGGTTGCAAATCGAAAATTGGTCTCCGGGGTATAAGTTTTGCCTAGGGCGCTGACGTTAACCCCTCCCCCGAATGAATTACCCCCTTTATTTTATAGGATTACGTTAATAATAAACCTGTTAAGGATGAAATGCGCTTATCATCTTTACTTTGTAGGTTTGGGAATTCCCTAGAGAGTGATGATTCATTTTATATGTAGGACTATTCTGCGTCTGCAGCCCATTTCTCTGGAATTCTCTAAAACGCCACATTTCTCATTGCCGACAACAAATAGGCCTATAATACAGAAAGGGGAAAGAGGGAAATGAGGTTAAAATACATATGAGCAAGTATTGTCAGTGGTAAATGATTTAGGTTTAATGAAAGGTGGGTAAGGGGTCATCCATAAATTACGTCACGCTTTTTTTTACGATTTCTACCCCTCCCCTCCGTCACACGTCGTCACAAAAAGCTAGACCCCCCCCCCCCCAAAAATGACGTCACACCTCAGCCTACACCCCCCCCCCTCAAAATTGCAGTTGAATTTTTCTTAAAACATCGATATTTTTCCTAAATCTTGTCTGAACTCTGTCAACATAGAATATTTTGATCAATTTCCTTTTTACAATTTATTAAAACCGATTTTTAAAAACGCGAAATAACGGCTAAAACTCGTTTTCTAACATTGCTTTATTATAATGCAAAAAGTGACGTCACACCATCTCAACCCTCCCTCCCCCTCATCACAACACCATCACAAAATTACGGACCCCCCCCCCCTCCCCCTACGAGTGTTACGTCATTTATGGACGTCACACTGATTTTGTGATGACTGTGTGTGGGGGGGGGGGGGGGGGGGAGGGCAGATAGTGTCACTTCGCGTTTGTGCATTTTATAAAGGTAATTTAGAAACTCAATTTTAGCTGTTATTAACGTGTTTTTTTAAAACTGTTATTGTCAATTGTAATTGAAATTGTTAAATATACTCTGTCATTTTTTTAAAGAAAAAAAATCGATGTTTTAAAAAAAAATTCAACTGCAATTTTGAGGAGAGTATTGCCTGACGCCACTTGACGCCATTTATGCAGCAAATGGACACAAACCACAACTATTCAACATACTCGACTTTGGACGATTCCTCCAAGTTGGGTCCATAACATTCCTGCTACACACATCACTTAAAACTGCTGATCTTTTCCTTGTCTATTTTGGCCACCCACTTTACTCTTTCCCTGCGGATACCAATCTAATGCCGGACTGGTGATGTTGCGTGTTGGCTTACGCAAGGTATGTCCAGTCCATCCCGCATTAGCGCTATTTGTGTTTATTGTATTTGCCACTTTAGTTTTTTCCCCAGTATTTCATATAGGTTGGTGTTGGTAAGTTACCCATAACACG